AAATATACAAAAAATATTTTTAAAAATATAATTGGGTCAGAATTAACAGGAAATTAATTTTTAAAAAGCATCAAAAAGACTATTAGACTCTGTTCGATAAATTTAAAAAATTGTTCTAAAATTTAATTTTAAAAAATTTTTGAAAAAAGTCGACCAGGGTCTCATGAAAATATTAAAATAAAGAACGAAAAACGTTTAAAAAATCTTTTATAAAAATGACAAAATGAGTAACAGTTGTTTTTATCGTTTTAATTTTAAATCCTCTTCTTTTTAAATCCTTCAACATTAATTTCTATAATTATAATAAAAAAAATTTTACTGAGAGGAAGAAACATTGTTAAGATATTAGAAACCAGAATTAAATTAAAACAAGTTTAAAATCAGAATTAATTTCAAACAAGTTTTAATTAAAACATGTTTCTTAGAAAAGTTTAGAAACCAGAATTTAATTAAAACAAGTCTTAATTAAAACATGTTTCTTGGAAAAGTTTAAAAACCAGAATTAATTTTAAACATGTAACCAGAATTTATTCTAAACATTCAGACGTATTAAAATAAAAATCAGAATTAAATTCGAACAAGTTTTGATTCTATTAAATTTTAACATATCATACTCAAGTTTGTTTAAAAGGCAAAACTCATTTGCCTTTTTAAACAAGGCAATCATAAAAATATAAACTTCAAAATTTATTGTGGAACAATTCTTATACTTTTAAAAAAAGCGGTTCGATATGGTTTGTTTGTTAATATACAGACAATTGCGTTAAATACAGGGGTAAAATGAAACCAATGATAAATAATTAATCTAATAATGTTTGCCATATTGTTGTTTGTTTCAATAAATAATATAATTTGTAAAGATGCAGCATGTTTTACGAATGGAACAACAGCCTAAATATTATTAAAATGTTTTAAAAAATCAGAATTAATTTAAAACATACCAGAATTAATTTAAAACATACCAGAATTAATTTAAAACATACCAGAATTAATTTAAAACATACCAGAATTAATTTAAAACATACCAGAATTAATTTAAAACATACCAGAATTAATTTAAAACATACCAGAATTAATTTAAAACATACCAGAATTAATTTAAAACATACCAGAATTAATTTAAAACATACCAGAATTAATTTAAAACATACCAGAATTAATTTAAAACATACCAGAATTAATTTAAAACATACCAGAATTAATTTAAAACATACCAGAATTAATTTAAAACATACCAGAATTAATTTAAAACATACCAGAATTAATTTAAAACATACCAGAATTAATTTAAAACATACCAGAATTAATTTAAAACACACCAGAATTAATTCAAAACATACCAGAATTATCAATGTTTTTGTTAATTGTTTCAACAATCTTTTCATATTTTCATCAAATCCAGTATGTGAATTAACGTATTTAACCATTTTAATTCCACAAATAATTATTATAAAATATGGAGTAATTTCAATAAATGATAGTAGGACAATTGACGCCATTCCCATCTTTTTATAAAAATTATTTAATAAAAAGAAATTTTTAAAATTACATCAATTGTTTTACATTGGATGTATGGCAATATTTTATTAAAATTATCATCAACAAATTGTTGAAAACCACCTTTAGAATATGGTATAACTGCGAAAATATCATCCAAAATATAAAATACATTTATTATTAAAGCAATCGAAAACATATAAAGATAGCGACGAACACCAATTTTCATGTTTCTGTTAAAAAAGTTTGTATCAAAATTCAGAACTTGAAATAAACATGTTTAAATTTTTCTGTTTTTATTTAAATAAATGTTGTGGTTTGGAAAACATGTTATTCTGTTGATGTTTAAATTATTTCTGATTTTTATTACTTGTTTTAAACAAATTCTGATTTTTATTACTTGTTTTAAACAAATTCTGATTTTTATTATTTGTTTTAAACAAATTCTGATTTTTATTACTTGTTTTAAACAAATTCTGATTTTTATTACTTGTTTTAAACAAATTCTGATTTTTATTATTTGTTTTAAACAAATTCTGATTTTTATTACTTGTTTTAAACAAATTCTGATTTTTATTATTTGTTTTAAACAAATTCTGATTTTTATTACTTGTTTTAAACAAATTCTGATTTTTATTATTTGTTTTAAACAAATTCTGATTTTTATTACTTGTTTTAAACAAATTCTGATTTTTATTATTTGTTTTAAACAAATTCTGATTTTTATTACTTGTTTTAAACAAATTCTGATTTTTATTACTTGTTTTAAACAAATTCTGATTTTTATTATTTGTTTTAAACAAATTCTGATTTTTATTATTTGTTTTAAACAAATTCTGATTTTTATTACTTGTTTTAAACAAATTCTGATTTTTATTACTTGTTTTAAACAAATTCTGATTTTTATTATTTGTTTTAAACAAATTCTGATTTTTATTACTTGTTTTAAACAAATTCTGATTTTTATTACTTGTTTTAAACAAATTCTGATTTTTATTATTTGTTTTAAACAAATTCTGATTTTTATTACTTGTTTTAAACAAATTCTGATTTTTATTACTTGTTTTAAACAAATTCTGATTTTTATTATTTGTTTTAAACAAATTCTGATTTTTATTATTTGTTTTAAACAAATTCTGATTTTTATTACTTGTTTTAAACAAATTCTGATTTTTATTACTTGTTTTAAACAAATTCTGATTTTTATTATTTGTTTTAAACAAATTCTGATTTTTATTACTTGTTTTAAACAAATTCTGATTTTTATTATTTGTTTTAAACAAATTCTGATTTTTATTACTTGTTTTAAACAAATTCTGATTTTTATTATTTGTTTTAAACAAATTCTGATTTTTATTATTTGTTTTAAACAAATTCTGATTTTTATTACTTGTTTTAAACAAATTCTGATTTTTATTACTTGTTTTAAACAAATTCTGATTTTTATTATTTGTTTTAAACAAATTCTGATTTTTATTACTTGTTTTAAACAAATTCTGATTTTTATTATTTGTTTTAAACAAATTCTGATTTTTATTACTTGTTTTAAACAAATTCTGATTTTTATTATTTGTTTTAAACAAATTCTGATTTTTATTACTTGTTTTAAACAAATTCTGATTTTTATTATTTGTTTTAAACAAATTCTGATTTTTTTTACTTGTTTTAAATAAATTCTGATTTTTACTGTTTTTACCTGTTTAAAACTAAATATCTATATATAAATTGAACACATAATCCGTTTGTATTTAAATTGAAAATAAATATGTAAAAAAGATTTATATAATAAAATAATAATGGATTGAATGTTTCCTTCATAAAATAAATCAAAATCCCGTCAGTGATAATAAAAATAGTATTTCCATCCTTGTCGCTTATATAAAACTTAAAATATTGTTTTTATTAAATTCTGATTTTGTTTTTATTAAATTCTGATTTTGTTTTTATTAAATTCTGATTTTGTTTTTATTAAATTCTGATTTTGTTTTTATTAAATTCTGATTTTGTTTTTATTAAATTCTGATTTTGTTTTTATTAAATTCTGATTTTGTTTTTATTAAATTCTGATTTTGTTTTTATTAAATTCTGATTTTGTTTTTATTAAATTCTGATTTTGTTTTTATTAAATTCTGATTTTGTTTTTATTAAATTCTGATTTTGTTTTTATTAAATTCTGATTTTGTTTTTATTAAATTCTGATTTTGTTTTTATTAAATTCTGATTTTGTTTTTATTCTGGTTTTATTAATTCTGTTTGTTTCTGGTAATTTCTATCAATTAATTAATCTATTCTTCGTTACTTAGTTTTGTTCAGATTTAATTCTGGTTTTTCTAAATGTTTTACCACTTGCATACACATCTGCAATGTCAAGAATAAAATATCCAAAACACAATTTTGTATCAGAATTCTGCTGTGTGTTTCCATTTCTTTTGGAGTTTTAAAAATAATTAAAATAATCAGAATAATGTTTAGAGGATAACCAAGTAATAAACTTGTCCAAAAATCCCAAGCAAGGAAAATATCAATTAAATTGGGCATTTTTTTATTTATTTTAATTTTTAAAAGTTTTAAAAAAAATAAAGGTAAAATAAATTAATTTACCACTAAAATTAATTTAAAAATATTTTTTATTAAAATGTTTCACACAAATAACTTTCAAAAATACAAAATAAATTCTAAGAAAATTTTTTATTTTAATTAATTTCGTGAGATATTATTACATTGACGCCTGACTTGGTGTACTTGAGACAGTAAACACCTCCGATATTTGAAAATATTTACTTTAATATTTAAATACAAAAAATATTTTTGAGAAAATTTTTTTTATTTTAATTAAAACCGTGAGATATTCAACGTCTGAGTTGGTGACGTTAAAAAAAATAATTTTCAATAACAAACAAGTAAAAGGGCCAGAATATGTACTTTACAAGCAACAGGAAGAAGAAATGCATAAACAATATTATCAAGAAGATTTACACTTCCATCGAAGTCCTCGAGATTGGCTCATTTCTTCCTTGCAATCCTTTGACTGGGCTAACGGTTCTTCTTCAAATTTGCCCTGAATTTCTCAACCAAATGTTTATTGGCTGTTGGGCTTCAACTTAATTTTGATTTAAACCTCCTCCCCCTATTTAAACTTTCAAAATGAATTTGAAATGCGATTCTATCTTGGAAATTGATACAACATTCTTTGGTTTTATATTTTTACATAATTTGTATAAAATAAAAATCGGAATTGATTTAAAAAAGTTTTATAATGAAAAATAATTGTATTAGAAATCAGAATATTTTTAAAACATTGCTTAAAATATAAAATCAGAATATATTTTAAAACTTTGTTCCGAATAAATTTAAAATCAGAATTAATTTAAAACATGTTTACCTAAATGTTTTAAATTAATTCTGGTTTTATTACAAATCAGAATTAATTTAAAACAAATGTTTTAAATTAATTCTGGTTTTATTAAACATTAAAAACATTTATTTTACATAAAATACAAAAATTATTGAGGGTGTATTTTTAAGCTTTTAAACACAGCTTCTTTGTATGGCTTATTGGTTATTATACAAACAATAGGGTTAAAAACAGGCATAAAATGAGTGAAAATTGAAAGAAATATATAAATTAAATTTAGTATATCATTTTCTCTTGTTGAACTATTTGTTCTATTATTGTAGGCTATAAAGAATAAAACTAATAAAATAAAAATTTGATTAATAAATGGAATAATTATCTGAAATTTAAAATTAAGTTAATAATTAAATTAAAAATATACCAAAATTATCAAAGTTTTTGTCAATTGTTTAAGTAATCTCTTCATATTTTGACTTAATCCAGTATGTAAATTAACATAATAAACCATTTTAAACCCACAAATAAAAATTATTAAATATGGAAGTATTACTATAACGAAAGTCATTATTACTGCCGGCAAATATACCTTCAAAAAAGTATTTTTAAAAAATTCTGAATTTTTAAAGTTTAATACCTCTGATTTCATAATGACAAAAGGTAATGTTTTGTTTAAATATTCTTCGTCAAAATGTTTAATACCCCCATCAAAATAATGCATAGCATAGAAAATACAAATCAGATTATAAAACGAACCAACAACAAAAACAGATGAAAACATATAAAATAAATAGGTTCGGTAATTAATTGTCATGTTTCTGTTAAGTTAAGTTTATATTATAAATCAGAACTTGATAAACTTGTGTTTTAAATTAATTCTGATTTTGTTTTAAATTAATTCTGATTTTGTTTTAAATTAATTCTGATTTTGTTTTAAATTAATTCTGATTTTGTTTTAAATTAATTCTGATTTTGTTTTAAATTAATTCTGATTTTGTTTTAAATTAATTCTGATTTTGTTTTAAATTAATTCTGATTTTGTTTTAAATTAATTCTGATTTTGTTTTAAATTAATTCTGATTTTGTTTTAAATTAATTCTGATTTTGTTTTAAATTAATTCTGATTTTGTTTTAAATTAATTCTGATTTTGTTTTAAATTAATTCTGATTTTGTTTTAAATTAATTCTGATTTTGTTTTAAATTAATTCTGATTTTGTTTTAAATTAATTCTGATTTTGTTTTAAATTAATTCTGATTTTGTTTTAAATTAATTCTGATTTTGTTTTAAATTAATTCTGATTTTGTTTTAAATTAATTCTGATTTTTATTTGTATTTTACCTATTCAAAATTAAATATCTAAAAACAAATTGGGCACACAATCCATACAAAATTGTAATGTAAAAAAAGTTTCCAATAATTATAAAGCTTTTGCAAATAATTTTGTCAAAATTATTTTTAATAAATTCAATAAAAATGCCGTCAGTAAAAATAAGGACCGAATTTCCATCGACGTCAATTATATAAAACTTAATGTTCAGATTTAATTCTGGTTTATCTTTAAGTTTTACCATTTGTGCGAACATTACATATGTTAATAATAAAATATCCAAAACACAATTTTGTATCAGAATTCTGCTGTGTGTTTCCATTTCTTTTGGTGTTTTAAAAATAATTAAAATAATCAGAATAATGTTTAGAGGATAACCAAGTAATAAACTCCCCCAAAAATCAAATTTAAATAAAATATCGGTTAAATTTGACATTTTTTTTATTTTAATTTATTAATTAAAATGAGGCGAAATATTACCTTTTTGCTTTAAGAATTTTTTCAGTTAAAAAAAAAATTTTTAAGTGTTTAAAAGTAAAAGTCGTCTAATTAATTTTGAAATTTTCACCTGCCATTTATTTAAAGTTCTTTAAGATAAACAAAAAAATTTTTATTCTATATAATTATTAGAAGCAGATTGTTTACCTTTTATCTGCCCACTCAAACCAATTTTAAAAATTCTGTAGAATTTTTAATTTTTCTTTTACTTTTATTTAACTACAGGTGAAAGTTTGTTTAATTTTTAAAGTTGAAACATGACATGCTTTAATGACATCATTTTTTAATTAAATGAAAAAAAACCAGAATTATGTGTAAAGAGAATTTATTATCATTATTTTTAACGAAATTAACGCCAAAACGCAAAAAATATACTTAATCTGAGGGTATAAAAAATAAATACTTAATCTGAGGTATAAAAAATAAAATAAAAAATGGGAAGAGCAAGCACTCCCACGACCACCTGCGATGATTGCTAGGAGCTTTCGCACACCACGTACAGAATTGCCCTACCGACTGTGCTATCGTAGGCGCTGTTTCACCTTTATTTTAATAGATCTTAAACCCTCACCAACTTCAATACAACTTTATTTAATTAAAATTATTTTTTAAATTAATTTTGAAATCTTAATTTTCTGTGTTTTTATAGATAATTTGATTGTTTATTTAATAAAATTAAAATTGTGTTCGCAGGTTTTGAAAAAATTTTACTAGAATAATCGTTATTGTTCAGAACCCTTTAAGGCAACATTTTGCCCCACAACTTTTTTCTAGCTGCACTTTAAATTAAAATTATTTTTGTATTTTGTAGTCCATTCAATTCTCTATCTATTGATATCTAAAGCTTATCAAAATATTAATTCATTACTTAGTTCTTTGAGTTGGAAGAACCCTGGTCTTGTGACACGTTTTTATAGACAAATAATGAAATAAATAAACAAAGAACTATAAAATTAAATAAAAAATATTAATTTACTTTATTTTATCATTTTATCAGTTGAAAAATAATTTTTATCAAAAAAGAAGCTATTTTATTGAAAATTATTTTAAATAAAATTTTTCATATTAAGTAAAAAAATTAAAAAAAAATTTTTTTTATGAAGAAAAATATTCTTTTAATTATTTTATTTTTAATATTCCAACTTTGCCAAGTTTTAAAAGCTTATAAAATTCTGGTTTATAGTCAGACTTTAACTCGTAGTCATGTTATCTTGAATGCAAAAGTTGCGGAAGCATTAGCTAGTGATGGACATAATGTGGTAAAAAAATTAAAAAAATAGTCAAATATCTACTTAAAATCATAAAAATTTGTAGAAATGTTCTCAATCAAGATATCTAACATCCCTATAAATTTCAGAATTTCTGGTTTTTTATTTCAGAATTTATGGCCAAAAATATCAGAATTATAGTGAAAAATGCTGATTTTTGGTAGTTTTTTGACCATAACTTTTAGAATATAGAATCAAAAATGATGAAATTTTCAGAAAAGCCTACTAATACTTATAAAAATGTTCATACGAAATTTTATAAAAATATCTCTTGTTAAAAATTAATTATAAAAATTTCTGGCCAGAAATATCAGAATTATAGTGAAAAACGCTGATTTTTGGTAGTTTTTGACCATAACTTTTAGAATATAAAACCAAAAATTCTGAAATTTTCAGAAAAGCTAGATAAGACTTGTAGAAATGTTCATACAAAATTTTATAAATTTATCTTTTGTTAAAAATTAATTACAAATTTTTAATGGACAGACAATACTTGAAGTAGAATATATGGAGCCTTTAGCTGAATTTGATGGATCTTCAGCAAAAGGAGTTAAAAAAGTAAAAATAAATATTTAAATAAATTATTTTTAATATTTAAAAAAAGATTTCTGTAAGAACTGATGTAAACAAAGCTAAGGAAACTATACAAGGGCGTTTAACAGAAATTTATTTTAAAGAAGCTACAGCCTGGTCTCTTATTACAGGCTATAAAAATGATGAGGATTTTCAAAATACTATCAATGAAGTTTGCGAACGTGAAGATTTATTTATTTTTAAAAATACGAGGGGCTCTCCAATAGAGACCCCCCTCTCTAATAATTATCTAATAGACACCCCTATCCTCTGGATGTCCTCACTATTAGAAAGGAATGGACTTAGGAAAAAGTGCTTAATAGGAAGGGGGCTGAGAGGTGGTCTTAAATTTGTTTCTGTTCCACTCCAATAACATTTTCTATTCACCCATTAACACAAAAGTTCCTTACCTATCCACAGGGGATAAGTGGGAGATTTTATGGACTTTAAGAGATATATAGGGAAGGAAGGAAAATTCTCTTAATCCATATAATTGAAATACAAAGCTCGGGGACTTAAAGTCCATTTTCCCAATAAAATTTAAATTTTTAAAGACTTTCTGGACACTCAAACCGAATTAATAGAACAACTTAAAAATGAAAAATTTGATCTATTTATTGGAGAACAAATTAATTTTTGTGGGTCAGCATTGAGTTATTTGTTTGGAATTCCAATCCATATACTTTTAGTTAGGTTGGATTTTTATTAGAATATTAAAAAAATTTTTGTATAAAAATTAGCTAAAAATTGGGAAAATCGGTGAATTGTATTTTCGGTGAATTTTTATGTTAACGGAATAATTAATTTTTTCCGTAATAGCTTCTTGGTGTAGTTGGAAAATGCTTAGAAATATAGGCAGAAGGGATGGGGGTTCGAATCCTTTTGATGAAAAAATGTTTTTATATGAAGGCTAAAGGCTTCTAAAAAATTTTTAATTTGTTTTAAAAATTTTAAAAATTTTTAAAAAATTTTTAAATTAACTAAAAACGTCAAAAATCGAATTTTAAAATTTTAAAAAAATTTTAAAAAAAGTTTAAAAAATTAAAAACAAAAATTTTCGCCTAGACAGTTGTCCAATCCAAGAACACGTTTCTTCACTTGTTGGAATGCCTTTCCCAGCTAGTTATGTTCCTTCAATTTATGGTGTTCCTATGAGCGACAAAATGTCTATAAACCAAAGATTTAGTAATTTAGTAGCTACATTTGTGCATGAAAGGGCTTTTTATTATGGAATTGAGGAATTGAATGATTTATTTAGGCGAAGATTTGGGTTAGTTTTTAAAATTGTTTAAATCCCATTGGGATAACTCAGAGTTTAAGATGCGCAGAAGCCCCTTCTCTAATAAAAAGGCGCCTCTCTAATACGACCCACCTTTTTAATATTGTGGATATTCAAAAAATAAAATGCCTGGGCGTCTATTAGAGAGTATTTAAAAAGTTTCAACTCATACTTTCGATGGTGATGGACGAAGCCCCTATCTAATAAAAAGATGTCTTTTTTATAGGACACCCTTCAGTGGATAGTTAAAAAATAAAATGCCTGGGCGTCTATTAGAGAGCATTAAAAAAATTTTTTTAATAAAAAAAAATTTTTTTCAAAGATCAAATTATCCAACAATCCAAAATATAGTCAAAGAAACACCATTAGTATTTGTTAATGTAGACGAATTTGTAGACTTTCCCCGTCCAATAAATCCAAATGTTGTGTATATTGGAGGTTTAGGCTTTAATAAAATAACAACAACAACAACATTAAAAGAGCCTTACTTAACTGAAATAAATAAAGGAAAGGGAACAATTTATTTTTCTTTGGGCTCGTTATTAAATACTTTTACTTTACCTAATAATTTTATGAAAAATTTATTTGCTTCGTTTGGAAGTTTAAAAGAATGGCATTTTATTGTTAAAATTAGTGAAGGTGATGAACATAGTTTAGAAATGTCGAAAAATTATTCTAATGTTTTTTTGACGAGTTGGGCACCGCAGAGAGCGATTTTAGGTAAATTTTTTGTTTAAAACAACTTTATTAGAAACATGTTTATTATAAGTAAAAACAAGTTTAGTTAAAAACAAGTTTGTTTAAGAACAAGTTTATTTAAAACAAGTTTAGTTAAAATATGGTTAGATAAAACCAAGTTTAATTAAAACAAGTTTTTTAAAAACAAGTTTATTTAAAAACAAGTTTATTAAAACATGTCTAACTAAACCATGTTTATTCAAAACAAGCTTGTTTTACGAACAAGTTTATTTAAAACATGTCTATTGTTGAAACAAGTTTGTTTGTGTAAACCAAGTACATTAAAAACATTTAATTAAAACAAGTTTAAGCAAAAACAAGTTTATTATAAAACAAACTTATCTAAAAACATGTTTATTTCAAACAAGTTTATTTAAAAACAAGCTTATTAAAAACATGTTTATTTAAAAACAAGTTTATTAAAACATGCTTATTTAAAACCGAGTTTATTTAAAACATGTTCAGTTAAAACCAAGTTTAGTTAAAACAAGTTTGTTTTAAAAACAAGTTTATTACAAAACTTAAGCAAACTTAAAATAATTCAAGTTTATTTTAATTAAAACTTAAAAAATTTAGAACATCCAAACACCAAATTATTTATTAGTCATGGTGGTTATAACAGTTTAATGGAAGCAGCATTATCTGCAACTCCAATAATTAGTTTTGGATTTTTTGCAGAACAAAGACGGAATAGCCTAGTTCCCGAAAGGAATGGATGGGGGAAAAGTTTTAATAAAGCGCTTTTGTTAAATGGAAAGGAGGAATTTGTGGAGGTTATTCAAACAATTTTGAATGACCCTAAATATGCTGAAGAGGCTAAAAGATTGAGTAAACTATTGGCTAATAAGGCAAATTTAATTTTTTAAATTTATTTTTTAATCAGAAAAAATGATTCTGAATTTTATTCTGGGAGAAAATAATTTTTGATTGCATTGGAGAAGGAAAAAGAGTAGCTAAACGTTGCTTGGTTGAAGCTTTGTAGAACGGCCAAAAAAGAAGCTAGAGCTATAAAATTTTGTACATTTATTGATAAAAGTGTCACTTATGTTCTCTGAAAATTCCAGAATTTTTGGTTTGAAATTACCAAAGTTATGGTCGAATGAGTATCCGAAAGACTGAAAAATGGCTATTTTGGTAGTTCTTTGACCATAACTTTGGAAATATTCAAAGAAAAATTCTGAAATTTTTAGAGATAGTAGATACAAGCATTAGAAATAATTATAAAAATTTATGTAGCCCTAACTAATTATTTGGCTATTTTACAAAGTTGCGCGTCAATGTCCCTATCCTCATAGAAATGAATAAAAAACCACCTATAAAATTTTAAAAAATTTTATTTTTAGCCTTTCTCTGCCAGAGAAAAATTGATAAAAAATATTCGCTTTTTGGAACAAAATGGAGGTTATTTACCAGAATTACTGTCCGAAGCAAGAAATTTAAATGTTTTTCAACTTTACAATTTGGATATTTTGATAATTTTGGGAATTTTAATTTTTGGAGTTTTAATTATTTGTGTTTTATTAATCAAATATTTGTTGAATTTATTTAGTGCCTTTTTCAGATTTAATAAAGACAAAAGGGAATAAATAAAATTTTAATTTTTTTGAGGAGTATAACTGTCTTTAACAATACTTGATAACTAATTAAAAGAGTTTATTCGAAAATTTAAATAAATTTAAAATATAATCCGATTTTCGAAAATCGGGATCAAAGGTCTATTTGAGGAGTAAAGCAGCTGGGCTATAGCTATTTCTCTCATTTAGCTAGTGCGAAAGGTTAATCGGCGGCTGGAACGAACCAGTTTCTTCAGTAGATCGGACTGATGTGTTAGCCATTACACCACGCCGCCTACTCCACAGCCTTAGGAAATTGAAAAAAATAGCTACTATATGCTTTACAGAGGTCAATTTTTGTAAGAAATCTGGCTTCTTTACCTTCTCAAATTTTTCGCCTGCGACACTGAAAATGGCAGTCTTTTAGTACAAATTAAATTTTTTAATACAACTTCATCTTTTTGAATGATCCTATTAATAATTCAAAATATCCTCGGTTAAAGTCATTGGAAATATCATGGGTAAGAATTTTTTATGTCGAGAACTACCACAATGCTCCTGGATACTACATCTGAAACAGAACGATTATGTTCAGGTGCTAGATTATTAGTCTCTGATTTAAGAATATTTCTAATGAGAATTTTGAACAGCAAAGTTCTTTACATCACAAAATACTGATAATTGATGGAAAAATGACCAATAAATTAATTTATCCATAAAATTTTTAATTTTGCGTTCTTGCTAACTCTATTGTTTTTAAGTCTACGTAGGCAAAAATATCTCACAATTTTAATAAAAATTAAAAAAATTTTCTCAAAAATATTTTTTGTATTTAAATATTAAAGTAAATATTTTCAAATATCGGAGGTGTTTACTGTCTCAAGTACACCAAGTCTGTCGTCAATGTAATAATATCTCACGATTTTAATTAAAATAAAGAAATTTTCTTAGAATTTACTATTTTGTATTTTTAAAAGTTATTTGTGTGAAACATTTTAATAAAAAATATTTTTTAAATTAATTTTTGTAAAATTACTTTATTTTACTTTCATTTTTCTTTAAAGTTTTTAAATTAAAATAAATTAAAAATGCCGAATTTAATTGATATTTTCCTTGTTTGGGATTTTTGGTCAAGTTTATTACTTGGTTATCCTCTAAACATTATTCTGATTATTTTAATTATTTTTAAAACACCAAAAGAAATGGAAACACACAGCAGAATTCTGATACAAAATTGTGTTTTGGATATTTTTTTATTGATGGCTCAGATGTTTGCACGAGTGGTAAAACTTTTAAAAAAACCAGAATTAAATCTGAACAAAACTAAGTAATAAAAATAGAAATACAACTTTACGGAAAGAAAATCAGAATTTAATAAAAACAAAACCAGAATTTAATAAAAACAAAACCAGAATTTAATAAAAACAAAACCAGAATTTAATAAAAACAAAACCAGAATTTAATAGAAACAAAACCAGAATTTAATAAAAACAAAACCAGAATTTAATAAGAACAAAACCAGAATTTAATAAAAACAAAACCAGAATTTAATAAAAACAAAACCAGAATTTAATAAAAACAAAACCAGAATTTAATAAAAACAAAACCAGAATTTAATAAAAACAAAACCAGAATTTAATAAAAACAAAACCAGAATTTAATAAAAACAAAACCAGAATTTAATAAAAACAAAACCAGAATTTAATAAAAACAAAACCAGAATTTAATAAAAACATTATTTTAAGTTTTATTTAACCGACAAGGATGGAAATTCAATTTTTACCATCACTGGCGGAATTTCGATTTATTTTATGAAAGAAACATTTAACCCTTTATTTTTCTATTACATGTATATTTTTTACATGTTTATTTTCAATTTAAATACAAACGGATTATGTGTTCAATTTATATATAGATATTTGATTTTAAACAGGTAAAAACAAATAAAAATCAGAATTTGTTTAAAACATGAACAGAATAACATGTTTTCCAAAACACAACATTTATTTAAATAAAAACAAAAAATCAGAACACGTTTTTCGCTAGTTCTGAACTTTGATACAAACATTTATTTCCTTAACAGAAACATGAAAATTGGTGTTCGTCGCTATTTTTACATGTTTTCGATTGCATTAATAATAAATGTAATTGATATATGGAATATTATTTTCTCCGTTATGCCATATTCTAATGGAGGTGTTCAACAAATTGCCGAATTTAATAAAATATTGCCATATTTTCAATGTGAAATAGCTAATGTATTTTTAAATAATTTTTTACTTTTAAAACAATTTTTATGAAAAGATGGGAATGCCGGCACTTATCCTAGAATCATTTTTTGAAATTACTCCATATTTTATAATAATTATTTGTGGGATTAAAATGGTTAAATACGTTAATTCACATACTGGATTTGATCAGAATATGAAAAGATTGTTGAAACAATTAACAAAAACATTGATAATTCTGGTATGTTTTGAATTAATTCTGGTATGTTTTGAATTAATTCTGGTATGTTTTGAATTAATTCTGGTATGTTTTAAATTAATTCTGGTATGTTTTAAATTAATTCTGGTATGTTTTAAATTAATTCTGGTATGTTTTGATTTAATTCTGGTATGTTATGAATTAATTCTGGTATGTTTTGAATTAATTCTGGTATGTTTTGAATTAATTCTGGTATGTTTTGAATTAATTCTGGTATGTTTTAAATTAATTCTGGTATGTTTTAAATTAATTCTGGTATGTTTTAAATTAATTCTGGTATGTTTTAAATTAATTCTGGTATGTTTTAAATTAATTCTGGTATGTTTTAAATTAATTCTGGTATGTTTTGATTTAATTCTGGTATGTTTTAAATTAATTCTGGTATGTTTTAAATTAATTCTGGTATGTTTTGATTTAATTCTGGTATGTTATGAATTAATTTTTTATGTTTTAAATTAATTCTGGTATGTTTTGATTTAATTCTGGTATGTTATGAATTAATTTTTTATGTTTTAAATTAATTCTGGTATGTTTTGATTTAATTCTGGTATGTTATGAATTAATTTTTTATGTTTTAAATTAATTCTGGTATGTTTTGATTTAATTCTGGTATGTTATGAATTAATTTTTTATGTTTTAAATTAATTCTGGTATGTTTTGATTTAATTCTGGTATGTTATGAATTAATTTTTTATGTTTTAAATTAATTCTGGTATGTTTTGATTTAATTCTGGTATGTTATGAATTAATTCTGGTATGTTTTAAATTAATTCTGGTATGTTTTAAATTAATTCTGGTATGTTTTGATTTAATTCTGGTATGTTATGAATTAATTCTGGTATGTTTTAAATTAATTCTGGTATGTTTTAAATTAATTCTGGTATGTTTTAAATTAATTCTGGTATGTTTTGATTTAATTCTGGTATGTTATGAATTAATTCTGGTATGTTTTAAATTAATTCTGGTATGTTTTAAATTAATTCTGGTATGTTTTAAATTAATTCTGGTATGTTTTAAATTAATTCTGGTATGTTTTAAATTAATTCTGGTATGTTTTAAATTAATTCTTGTATGTTTTAAATTAATTCTGGTATGTTTTGATTTAATTCTGGTATGTTTTAAATTAATTCTGGTATGTTTTAAATTAATTCTGGTATGTTTTGATTTAATTCTGGTATGTTATGAATTAATTTTTTATGTTTTAAATTAATTCTGGTATGTTTTGATTTAATTCTGGTATGTTATGAATTAATTTTTTATGTTTTAAATTAATTCTGGTATGTTTTGATTTAATTCTGTTATGTTATGAATTAATTTTTTATGTTTTAAATTAATTCTGGTATGTTTTGATTTAATTCTGGTATGTTATGAATTAATTTTTTATGTTTTAAATTAATTCTGGTATGTTTTGATTTAATTCTGGTATGTTATGAATTAATTTTTTATGTTTTAAATTAATTCTGGTATGTTTTAAATTATAACTTCTAAAACGTGTTTTAATAATATTTAGGCTATTGTTCCATTCGTAAAACATGCAACAGTTTTACTAATTTTATTATTTTATCAAACAAACAACAATACGGCAAACATTATTCGATTATTTAGTTTTCATTGGTTTCATTTTGCCCCTGTATTTAACGCAATTGTCTGTATATTAACAAACAAACCATATCGAACCGCTTTTTTTAAAAGTATAAGAATTGTTCCACAATAATTTTTGAATTTTATATTTCGAAATATTTTGAATAAATGCTTATAATTTAAATTATGTCATAGAGTTTATAAATTGATTTGAGAATATAGAATCCTGAAATAAATATTACCGCTTACTGTAAATACTCAATAATTACCCTAGTTAATTATTGTTTCAATCTCTCGCTAGATAGGGTAATTAATTGATATTGGGCAATTATTCAAATATATACGGGCTAGGTCATTCTTTTCTAGTCATTCTTTTCGGGCCTTATTTTTATCGAGTCGGGCATCGAGTTTTTTTCGGGCCAAAATTCAATGCCCGACTCGATCTTTCGGGTCCCCACCCCAAATTATAACCCTAAATACTTGGAAAACCACCCACAAATAAATATCTAAATTCCTCAAAATAGAAAAAAAAATTAGTAAAAAAGTTCTTTGTAGCTATTGCATGACCCAGAACAGACTAGCTATTAGTGTGTATAATTCGATTTACTTTTCTTTTCCCTTTCGTCCTCCAAAAATCTGGACCTTTAACCAAATAAATTTAAAAAAAGTAAACATCCTTCTGTGAACTCCCCAAATCCTTTCTCCTATTTTTTTCCAATTTTTGCGCATTTATTCCCTTCACACCTTTTAAATATTACCACCTACCCTGTCTGATCGTTTTTTTGTTTCCAATGGAAAAAATAACCGGCCTTAAAGCGAAAAAATGTTTATTTGTGTATTTTTATTTATTGCTATTCCAAATAAGCAGGTTTTTATTTTATTTTTATTTTAAAATAAAATATTTTTTTAAAAAATGTTTATTAATCATTACAAATCCTTTTATTCTCTTACCAAATATTCTGCAACCTTTTCTTATCCTTTTTATCATTTTTCGTTAATTTTCTATTGGAGATTTATTTTATTTTTAATTATTTCTATTCAAAATCAAGAGACTTTGGCTATTTTTGCTGACTATACAACTGTTCCCAAGGTAACGTTATTTTATCGTAGATATGCTCCCTTTCAAGTTTAAGAGTATATAACAAATAAATTACAAACTTAAAAACTCGGAAAAAATAAACTTGAATTTGTACTAACTTTAAAAATAAACTTTAATTATGGCAAAGTGTAGACTTAAAAAATAAGCTTAACATAGTAAACTTAAAAGTTTGAATTATCACAAACTTAAAAGTTAAATAAGCAAGAATTACTGCAAACTTAAAAAGTTAAGAAAACAAACTTTAATTACGATAAACTTAAAATAAACGAATCTTACAAACTTAAAAACTTGAAAAAAATAAAAATATAAACTTAAAAACTTAAAAAATATAAATTAGTACAAACTTAAAACTTAGAATAAACTTGAATTTTCTTTAAAAACTTAAAAAGTTTTAATTACTACAAACTTGAACAGTTAAATAAACTTGGATTTTTACAAACTTTAAAAAAATAAACTTGAATTACTGCAAACTTAAAAACTTAAAAATATTGCCTCATTAAATAAAAACTTACAAAGATAAAGTTATTTTATTAAATTTTATTTTTTACATCTTTAGGGCACAAATCCTACACTTTACGATGCCAACGATTTTGTGGTACAATTGGATGACCAATCATTTAATGATACTGTATTTTGTTTTGACCCAAACAAAATTGTTTCGAATTCTTTATTTTTGGAGGAAAATACAAATAATAATTCATTAAATGGTTCAATTAAATCTAATAATAATTTTGTTTCTGGAGAGGTACAAGCTGAAATTAATGGTCGTTGTACGAGCATCATAGTTGAATTTTATTCTGATTGGTGTGGGCATTGTAGAGCGTAAGTTTTTTGTAACTTGAATTTAAAAAAATAAACTTGGAAAACAAACTTGAATTATTACAAACTTGAATTAATAATAAATAAACTTGAATTAAGAATAAACTCAAAACTTGATTATACTAGAAACTTGAATTATTACAAACTTGAATGAATAAATAAACTTGAATTTAAAAATAAACTTTGTTCAACTTAATATCAAACTTAAAAACTTGAATTATATATAGAAACTTGAAAATAAACTTTAAAAATAAACTTTAACTAAAAATAAACTTGAATTAATAAAAAATAAACTTTATTTAATTTGTAAACTTAATAGAAAAACTTAAGCATACTTAAGCTAAAACTTACAAACTTGAATTATACGGAAACTTAAAAATAAACTTAAGAACTTAATAGTTAATTAAATAAACTTTAATAGAAATTAATAGGAAAATAATCCCCTGAACTTTTAAAGGTATTCCCGTCTCTATAAAGCATTGGCCAAAGACTTGTTGGCATGGCAAGGAGTGATTAAATTGGCTGCTGTAATTTTCCAAATTTTTTTTTTAATTTTTACTAATTTACAGATAAACTGTGCTGACCCAGTAAATTTAGATACATGTAAAGACAGCTCAATTACCCACTATCCCTTCTTAAAAGTTTTTAAAATAATTAATTTCCTAAAATTAATTTATTTTTTAAAGTATTTTCCTCGAAACAGCTTAGAAACAAATTTAAATTCAAGTGCTTCTGTAGGCCAAATATTGCGTTCTTATCAAAGTTTAGCTCAAATGAGAGATCGTGAGTAGATAAATAAATTTAAATCTTAATTTTAATATATTTAATTTGAAGAGATAACTCGTGTTCTATTAATGGAATATGAGGAAAATCGTTATGAGGATTGGCCTAAGTTTGAATGGCTAGAAAAGTGGGTATATTTAAATTTTTATTTATTTTTTTCCGGAGAATAGGTGTTCTATAAATATATACTAATATACCTTCCGGAAAGTTTTAATTATATTTCATTTATATTTTATTTTCCGGAAATTTTTTATTTTCTCCGGAAAGTTTGTAATGATTATGTTATCCGGAAAGTTGTAATTATATTCTATTTTGATTTTTTCCGGAAAACTCGTGAATATTATTCTTAATTTCTCAAGTTTTCCGGAAAATATTAAATTAGAATTATCTTTAGTGAACTTTTCCGGAAGGCTTATTTATCCATGAAACTATCTATTTGTTTTGTATTTTCCGGAATTAAAGTCAGAATATATATAGTTTCCGGAAAGTTGTATTATTCTCTTAATTCCCTCGATTTCTATGCCCCAATAAATAAAAAATTTTTAAATTTAAGCATAGAAACATACAATAATTTATGGAAAGGAATAGATTCACATATATCAACCCTTATTGTATTATTCGAATCAAATACAAACTCTCTAGTTGGCGCGCAACTTTTATTAGACCTTTCCGGTTATGCAGACAAAGTTGTTGCTAGAAGGTGTGTAAATAATGCTTTGGCAAATGCTCTACAAATAAAAGATTTCCCAACATTTGCGGTCTTTAGGAGAGGAGAACGTTCTCCTGCCTATATTGCTGAGTTTGTTTTTTTGGAAAATAATTTTTAAATTTAATTTTGAAGACTTAGACGTCTTCTACTTAACGAATTTGAACAATTATTACGAAACGATAGCAAAGAAACAAGTAAAAGGTCAATGAACAAGTTCTTTTCTAGAAAAAAATTTGCTTCGGGAAGTGAAAATATTGAACAATTTTGTAGCAATTTTCCTCAAATGTGAGGGATTTTTTTTAAAAATTTAAAAAATATTTTTTATTAAAGATGTAAGCGTGCCTATTTTGTTTCTGAATTGGATTTATTAAAGAGTGCGCGTATTGGTAAATTATTTTGATTAATTATTGGTTAATTAATATTGGATAACTGGTATATAGAAATAAAACATAATTTATCAGTTTTCCGGAAACAATCTAAAATTACTTCTGCAATCATTCCGGAATTTTTATTCTCTCCGGAATTCTCTATTTTTACTTGAAAGTCATTTTCCGGAAACTATTATATTATTACTTCATTACTTCCGGAAATATTTGAGTATTTTCCGGAAGCTATCATTCTATTCTATTTTTTCCGGAAACTTTTATATTTCTCCGGAAACAATTGCTTTACTTTATTTCTTCCGGAATTTCTATTTTTTCCGGAAAATATCAATTCAAATTTATTTCTTATTGAAATTATTATACTTTCCGGAAACAATTTGTTTAATAAAATACCTTATTTCTTCCGGAAACTATGTATCAATTCTGATATTATTTTTCCGGAAAATTTATTTTCCGGAGACTTAATTTTTTACTCCATTATTTCTTCCGGAATTATTATGGGTATTTTCCGGAACCTATTAATTCTATTACATTTTCCGGAAAAATTTTCGAATTATACTTCATTTCTTCCGAAAGTTAATTAATCTAAACATATTCTTCAGCACTTTTTAACGATGTTCAAATGATTGGAGGAGAAAATATTACTGGACAAAATTTGAGAGCTTTATATGAATTTGTGGATGTTTTAGCTAATGTATTCCTGTAGATATTTAAAAATAATAAAATACAATTTTTAAAGTATTTCCCTCATCGTACAATCCATCCTCAACCTAGAGAGACAGAATTTAATGGTTCTCAAAATTCTAGAGAAATTAATGAATTTAATGAAAAGGATAATATTGAGGTTAAAATTAATTTTGGAAAATTTTTGAAAATTTTGAAAATTTTTGAAAATATTTTTTTCAGTTTTTAAATGCTAGCAGTCGAGCTCGTGTTGTTTTTAGGTTGTTTATTTAAAAATTATTTTTTTCCGGAAACACATTTTTCAAAAATTTAGCATTAACGTATATGCTCAATGCCCTTTCAAATAATTGCCTTCTACATCTAACCCCCCCCCCTAAATACCACCTACATCCAACCTCTATCGAGGGGTGAAAAGGTGAAACAATAACTACCCAGGGACATTATTTGAGCATATACGATACTTTATCCTTTATTCTTTCCGGAAAGTCTATTCTTCCGGAAACTATCATTTTACTTCCTTATTTGACCCGAGAATAAAGAATTTATTTTAAAAAATTCCTCAACTTTCCCCCAAAAATTTTTCAGTCATCTGCGCGATTTTATTAATGAACAGAGAAGTGTGGGAGAAGCTATACCTATTGAAGCATGGAAGGCTGAATTTCTTAGAGCGGAGGCAAAATTAATTTTTAAATTGAAAATTTCTTAAATATTTTTAGAATGATCAGAAAAATCCTTTTCCGATTTCGGAAGAATGGGAACATTGTAAAGGGTTTGCGGAATTTTTTTGAATTAAAAAATAATTTTTTAGAAGCTCTCCAGTGCTACGCGGATATACTTGTGGGCTTTGGACTCTATTTCATGTATTAACAGTCAATGGATATAGAAATGGGCAAAAAGGTGGGCAAAATAGGAAAGGTCTAATATAAGGTTAAAATTGTGTTGATTATCCCTCTTGTTACAAACTTTCCAGAAACGGTCTCCACAAATAACATTACATATTATTAAAACTAATAAAACTTTCCGGAAATACTAGAACTATAAAATTAATGATACCAAAATTATAAACTTTCCGGAAAAATATAAAGTATATATAAGGTTAAGAACTTTCCGGAAAGTTCCTGAAAAAGAATAAAGGGAAGTTCCGGAAAAGAATATGGGAAGTTCCGGAAAAGAATGATGGGATGTTCCGGAAAAGAACTTTCCGGAAAAGCCTTCCGGAAAAGAATATGGGAAGTTCCGGAAAAGAATGATGGGATGTTCCGGAAAAGAACTTTCCGGAAAAGCCTTCCGGAAAAGAATATGGGAAGTTCCGGAAAAGAATGATGGGATGTTCCGGAAAAGAACTTTCCGGAAAAGCCTTCCGGAAAAGAATATGGGAAGTTCCGGAAAAGAACTTTCCGGAAAAGCCTTCCGGAAAAGAATATGGGAAGTTCCGGAAAAGAACTTTCCGGAAAAGCCTTCCGGAAAAGAATAATGGGAAGTTCCGGAAAAGAACTTTCCGGAAAAGCCTTCCGGAAAAGAATAATGGGAAAGAACATTCCTTAAAGGGTTATATCATTCTTTATATTCTTAAAAAATCAGAATTATAATCAGAATTTCAATTTTAAAAAATTCAAATAATTTTATTTTTATTTAACAGGCAATTCTTTTGATCCCTTACGCCTTTTATTAGCAATACGCGATTGGGTTCTATCTTTTTTTGCCTGTGACCATTGCAGAGTTCATTTTCGTAAAATGACCACAAAAACTGCTAGAATCGAAACTTCTGTAAATTAAAAAAATTTTTTTCTTAAAATTTCTTTAAATTTTTCTAAATTTTCCTTTAAAATTTAGATAAATCGAGAGGAGGACGTTTTTCTTTATTTATGGAAGGCACACAATTTAGTCAATTCCAGACTTCATGGTAGAGAGACGGAAGACCCCAAATTTCCAAAATACCAATTTCCCCCTCACTTTCTTTGTCATGAATGTCGGAGGGAAGTAAATAAAGAATTTGATGAGGATAAAATTAAAAATTTTCTTCTCTTGTATTATTCCGATATTAGACCGATTGGAAGGAAGGGAGTAGAGGAGGAGGATGTTGAGGAACTTGAAGATAAGGAAGTGGGAGAGTAAAAAATAAATTAATTACTTATATAATTGAGTGAATTGTTTTTAATCAGCTAATTTTCCAGAAATAAACACTAGGACAATTCGCACTAGAACTTGGTAGAAGAATATTAATAAATCAGAATTTAAATCGGAAATTAAATCAGAATTTAAATCAGAATTATAACTTTCCGGAAAGAATATAAAAATTACCAGAATTTATATTTGCAACTTTCCGGAAGGTTTATTTTTGTATTTCTGATTTAAATTCTGGTTTATTAATATTCTTCTTTCAAGTTGTAAGTCGTACCCTAATAAACCAGGGTACTTTATGGATATGTCACCCCCCCTCCTATTTTGAGTCTCAGAGTTTTCCTTAAACGTAGAAAATGGTCAGAGATTATTTTCTTCTCCATGTCAATCATTTTTCTTTCTTCAAGCAAATGTGGTAAATGTATAAACGAAATGAGTGAAATGTAAGTACAAAATATGTGAAAAGGCAAAATAAACAAGCAAAATACTTGAAGAAGAAAAAAATGATTGACATGGAGAAGAAAATAATCTCTGACCATTTTCTACGTTTAAGGAAAACTCTGAGACTCAAAATAGGAGGGGGGTGACATATCCATAAAGTACCTAAACCAGAATTTAAATCAGAATTACACCCTTCCGGAAAGTTGCAAAAATTATGGTAATTATTATATTCTGGTAATTCGTTCCTTATTATTTCCGGAAAATTTTCGTTCCGGAAAATTAGCTGAACAAATTTTATTTTGTTATACTCCAATTGTTTGTATTTCATTTTGTACATAAATACAAGTTTTAATATATGTAATTAATTTAATTACAATTGTGAAATATTTACAAATCCCTAAAATTTAAAGGAACACATAGTATTTTTAGTCCTTTTCTCTTTCTCTTTTGCAACCCATAAAATAATTTTAAATAAATTGAGTAACAATAAAAAGAAAAGAGAAAAATATTCGCTAGATAAGTACGAAATGTACGTTTGGGTCGATGATGATTGATTCCGTGTTTCATCGGACAATTGTTTGAAGACACTGGCTGTCTGAGACCCAAAAAATTTTTTTTTAATTCTGGAAGAAATTTTGGGTTTTTTTAAAACAAGAGGTTTAAGTGTTGTTGGATGCTGTCACATAAATTCTATTATTTTGGGTATACTGTAGTATATGATCGAATAATTGCCCCAGGGTAATTATTGTTTAAACCTCTCGCTGAAGGAGGTAATTAATCGACATGGGGCAATTATTTGAGATAAAGGCAAATTATAACTATTTTTAATGGGGTAATTATTTCAGAGAGGGTATTATTCGAGCAGATACAGTAAAACATATTTTATTAAAGGCTTGTTTATTTTCTGACATTGATGATTATTTTGCATTATTTTTGTCTAAAATATAGTATAAAATATAAGTGTACTTTATTATAAAAATTAAAAAGCTCAAACTAGAAAAAAATTATCAGTAATATTTTGTTGTTTTTTATCGTCTCTCGTTCAAAAAATAGTTTAATTTATTTTTACAAAATTTGTTGTTTTACTGATAAGCATTCGGCATCTGATAAAAATATTAACCAAACATTGGTAAATAAATAAATTATATAAAAATCAGTCAATTTTTGTGTTCTTTTATTAAATAAAATACAAAATTATTCTTGCAAAATACAAAGGAATAGAATTAAGGCTATCCGGAAAATACAATCCGGAAAGTTGTAATTCTCAGTAGGTGTTTATTTATATTTCCGGAAAGGATGATTATTTTAGATTATAGTATAGTTATATTCTTTCCGGAAAAGTTATATATTTTTTAGTTATTTTCTTTCCGGAAAATATAATCCGGAAAGTTGTGATTCTATATCACTGTTTATTTATATTTCCGGAAAAGATTGTATTTCCGATTATGGTAAAGTAGTATATCCTTTCCGGAAAAGTTATATATTTTCTAGAGTTATTTTCTTGAAAATTTTCTTTCCGGAAAATTATCACACTCAAGCTTATTTTAGTATTTTTAATTTTAGACAACTTTGCTAAGCTTCGGAAATATGAATATAAAACGTTCCGGAAATTCTTTCTCTTCTCTATTAATTCTGCCTTTACTCTTGTGCCTTGCTTTTCTTCTATGGCATCAGTGCCAAGCAAATGAGCATCATGAGACTGTGGAGCGATGGGTGAAACGTGTACTCCAAGAAGGAAGATATCCGTCTGTACCAACATTTCCTCCTCCTCCTCCTCCTCCTCCCCTTCCTCTTCTTCTTCCTCTTCCTACTCTTCCCCCATTTGACTTTCTGCCACCCCCTCCTGTCTTTCTGCCACCGATTCCAATGCCTAAACCACCTTTCTATATCCATCTTAAAAATAAATTGAAAAACAACGAGGATCAGGAGGACATTCGTAATGAAGAGGAAGGTTTTATGTCAACTAATGTCGATATTTTCGAAGAGAGAAGAGATTCTAGTATATCCATGGAATCCAAGGAGATTGAAAACGATAATTATGTAGAGCCCGTAATCCCTTGGTTCTCTGACTGGGAAAAGATGGTGAAGGAACAAGAAGCAAAGGTATTTTATTCGAGCAAAATTTAAGTTAAAAAAATATTTTTAGAAGAAAAAACACCCAAAAAAGTCTCTTCCAATTAGACACTCTCCCCTTCAAAACATCCAAGAACGTCCACGCCATATTCAAAGCCCCTGCCTTCTCCGTCGAAATAAACCTGTTCAGCATAGAACATATCCAAGAAGTTACGAGTTCCCAGGATTTGAACTTTCCATTCCCCGTAAATGGGACTGGAGGAATGTTGATGGAATTAACTTTTGTTCGCCTACACGCAATCAACACATTCCTGTTTATTGTGGTGGTTGTTGGGTGTTTGGATCTTTAGGCAAGTTTAATCTAAAATTAAAACTTTCCGGAAACTTCTATTAATTTTTAAAACAAGTTGTAGAAGGCTTTAATTTTCCGGAAAATATTAATTTTACTGTTTCTTTTTCCGGAAAGTTTAATTCTTGATAAATTATAAATAAATATTTCCGGAAAGTTAAATTTCTATTGAATTTATTATTTCTTTCCGGAATTTTTTTCCGGAATTTGTGTCCGGAATTTTCTTTCTTGAATTTCTTTCCGGAATTTTTTTTCCGGATTTCTTTCTTGAATTCTATTTCCTACTATACATATTTCCGGAACCAACAAAAATACTTCAATCTTCTCCTTTTATAGGCTCTCTCAATGACCGTTTTAATATTGCTAGAAAAAATCGGTGGCCGATGACTAGTCTTTCCCCACAGGTAAAACACTAAATTTTGGTTAATATCTTTCCGAAAATTATTTAAATAGGAAATAATTGCCTGTAATGGGAGAGGGAGAGGGTGTAATGGAGGTACGGCAGAGGATGTTTTTGGTATGTTTAATTTCGAAAATTTTTTTAATATACATATGTATATTAGAACATGCAAAAACTGTTGGACTTGTCGAGGAAGGGTGCAATAATTTCAAGGCAGTCAATGAAAGTAAAAGTTAAAAAAAATTGATAAGAAAGAGAGATCGGTACAAAATTAACTGCTCAATTATAGAAAGATAATATGGGGAATATTTGAAAAAACGGGAATAAAATTAAAATGGAAAAAACGGGCGTTAATGTGATAGATCGGTAGGGGGAGGACTTTTTTTTTGTTACATTAAACGGATGTTGTTGGACTTGATCGAAAAGGGGTGATATAAGGGGATATTTTTGGTTGTTATTTCTACTAACGTATTTACTCGAATAATTCCCCTCCCTCGATTAATTCCCCTCTCTCGAATTCCCCCTGCTACGGATGAGTTGAAATAATCCTCCTCCCCCAAATACCCTACTAAACGTTAAAATTTCAAAACTCGAATAATTCCCCTCCCTTGATCGACGTTAATGTGGATAAGGTAGGGGGCCATCCCCATGCCACGGATGGGCTGAAAAAATAATTCCCCGGGGGAATTAATCGAGTAAATATGGTAACTGAACTTAAGAAAGTCTCAGAGAAATTTTCAAAACATATTTCAAAAAAAAATTTCTCTCAAAAAATTTCAATCTTTTTTTTCGAATGTACACCATTCACACGCTGTGGCAGTTGTTGGCCTGACAAATGTTTTTCTATTCAAAACTACACTCGCTATTATATTAAGGACTTTGGGAAGCTTACTGGAAGGCTTCAAATGATGTCTGAAATACACAATCGAGGACCTATTTCGTGTACAATGGGGTGTACTCCTCAATTTGATTTGAACTATACTTCTGGAATTTATAGAGAACATGGGGAATATCCTGTAAGGACACTTCTTGTAATGATTAGGAAGTGTTAAAAAAATTTCATAATTTGAAAATAATGTGGAACCATTAAAATCCTTCAAGTTTTGAAGTCAGGACCTAGATATCGTAAGGAAGGAGGGAGATACAGCTAGTAAGCACTTAAAGCGCTTACTAGGCACTTCTATTTTAAGGGTACTTCTAGTCACCTATTTTAAGATCTATTAGAATAGGTGAACAAATGCCCACAATAGCATAGTCGGTAGAGCAACTCTGTACGTGGTGAACGAAAGCTTCTGGCAATCCTGGCAGGTCTTCGTAGGATACCTACTAAACACATTTAAAGTTAGAGAAAGTTCCGGCCACGTTATTGTTCTTTCCAAATCCTTTTTTGGAGAGGCCGGGAAAAAACCAGAAAAAGGAATTCCCTGTTTTTCCAGCCAAGACTGTTAAACTAGCTATATCGAACATTAAATAAATTTTGTCTCGAAACCCCAATTTCTAATTAAAAAAATAAAATTAAATAATATTTTCTCCTATTTTTCAGCCTAACCATATTGTCTCAGTAACAGGATGGGATTGGGATGAAGAAACAAAAACTGAATATTGGATTGTACGAAATAGTTGGGGAGAGGCTTGGGTGAGCATTTCTGGAGGGAGTTTTAAATTTAGAAAAAAATGAATTAATTTAGGGAGAAATGGGTTGGTTCCGTGTTGTAACGTCTTTGTTTAATGGAGGTCGTGGAGATCAATTTAATATGGGAATTGAAAGGGTATTTTAATTAAAAAAATATTTTAAATAATTTTTAAAAATTTGAGGAATGCTATTTTGCCGATCCTGATGTGTCAAACTTGAATTAGAAATTTAAAAAAATGAAATTTTATTTGTATTAAAATTTCTTTTGCAATTTAATAAGTAGACTTTGAAATTCAAACAATAAAAAAATCTTTTTTTTTTATTTTGAGAGGAAAATTTTTTTGGGAAGAAAATCTTAGTAGAAAATTCATTAAAAAGCTAATAAAAGTTATACGTGTAACAGGGATCTAGCCGACATAAAAATAATTCCCGATTTTTTTCAATTCCCGATTTTCGGGAATCGGGTCGGCTAGATCCCTGATGTGTAATACTACTTTAATTTTAATAAAAAAATTTCTTGAAAATTATGGGAGTACCAAAAAAGATTTTTTTTTCATTTTCATTGTTAAAACCAAATAAAAATATTTTTTGATAATATTTTTTTATTCAAAAATAAATTATTTTCAATTTTTAAGTGTTGTGAAAATTAATTTTCTTTTGTAAGACAACAAAAATTTCTTTTGTAATAAAAAAATAAACCGACAGAAAAAATGCGCAAAGTGTTCAATTTTAAATATAATCTTTTTCCCTCATTTTAAAAAATTCTTCAAAAATAAAATTTTTCTTTTTTCCCCCAAAATTTATTTACTCGACCTTTTATTTCGCTTACATTTTTGATTATCATCTTTATCTGATCTCTTTCTTCGTTTATTTTGTTGTTGCATATCTTTATGCCTCTTTTTTTCTCCCAATTTTTTTGGCAAATATTTCTGTCCTCCTTTCATAAATTCTTTTTTAGTTTTTTCTAAAGCTAAAGGGTCATTTCCTGTTTTAAAATTTTCTTCAGATTTATTAATATCCTTCTTTTTATTTTGTTTATTGATGTTATTATTTGATGCTGCAACTATTTCTCCTCTACTCATTTGTTTACGACGCTCTTTTAATCTTAAAGCATTCAAGTTTTCAATAGAGAATTCTACAATTGGACGCTTAAATTAAAAAAAAATAAATAAAAATAAATTTGAAGATTTTGGAAAGAAAAATTAAATTTAAATTATATAGCCTTCCGGAAAAATATAATAACATAAAAAATTCCGGAAAATATCATAGCAATAAATATAAGTTTCCGGAAAAGTATAATTATAGTTCTTCCGGAAAAAACAATAATAAAAATTAGAATTATTAAGAATAACATTCCGAAAAGAATATATAAATTTAAATTAAAGCCTTCCGGAAAATATGTATACATCAGAAAAATTCCGGAAAATTCCGGAAAATACAATAATAACCCATAGTTTCCGGAAGGAATAGAACTATAATTTTTCCGGAAAAACTAATACAGATAATCAGAATTATTAAACAATAACTTTCGGAAAAAATAATATTATATTAAAATTCCAAATTTTCCGGAAAAGAAATATAACCATCTCTATAACCTTTCCGGAAAATAAGTTATAAGAAGTTTCATATAACCTAGTTTCCGGAAGGAATAGAACTATAAATTTTCCGGAAAGAATAATATTACATCAGAATTCTCAACTTTCCGGAAAAGAAATATAATTTTATATAACCTTTCCGGAAAATACGTTATAAAACAAAATTTTTTTACCCTTTCATTAGTAAACATGTGAGGATTATTATTCATTTGTTTTAAACATTGTAAAGCTGCAGAATGTTCTTTAAAAGCCACAAATCCATAACCATTCGATTTTCCAAGAATAACTTTCCCTTTATTATTTTCTCCTTTAACTTGACGCATAATTCTACATTCCATTATTGAATCGTCACAAACACCTGCTGCAGCACGGCAAAGATGGCGTAATTGTTCATCAGTAAATTTAAATGGAATATTGTGAATCTGTAAAATAAAATATTTTTCTTTAATTTTTTAAAAATTTTGTTGGCATTTTTTAAAAACTAAAAATAATATGTTAAAGTTTTCCGTAAAGAATAAACACATAAATATAATTAAATCCAGAAATGTGTAAAAAACTTCCCAGAAAAGAATAATAAGGAAAACTTAAAACCTTCCCGAAAGAATGCACAAAAATAAATTTAATTATTCAAAAAAATAACTATAAAAATAGTTTTCCGGAAAGAATACAGACACTTATATTTCCGGAAAGTTTTTCTTTTAATTTTAAATTTGATTATACCCAAGTTTAATTTTCCGGAAAAATATAGCATAAAAGAACAAAACTTTCCGGAAATATAAATGGTAGTACTTAAAACTTTCCGGAAAGAAATATATTTTCCGGAAAATTGCATATAAATTAGAAAACTTTAATATAAATATTTCCAACTTTCCGGAAGGAATTAACAATTATACGTTTCCCGGAAAGAATATAGATGCACCTAATTTAAGTATTAATTATCCGGAAAAATGTATATAGAAAAAAATTCCGGAAATATTAATACTTAAAACATTCCGGAAAGGAAGTTAAAAATAATGTTTCCGGAAAATGTATATACTATGATAAAAGAAAAAACTTTCCGGAAATACAAATGGTAATACATACAACTTTCCGGAAAGGAATTAACAATTATATATTTTCCAGAAAGTTGTATATAAAATAGAGAATATAAGGTAATAGAAAATTTCCGGAAAGAAAATAGAAAATATATTTAAAACTTCATACCGCTAGTCTCGTTGGCGACACAAAAGTAATCATATTTTGCAACTTTTTCTTTGCAAATTGACACAAACGTTCGCGTAATTTAGCATCATCTTCAGACATTCCCTTCTCTTGAGGCGTTCCTTTTCTAATTAACGAAGCTCTCAACAAATAAAGATTTCTTTTGTCTTTTGGATTTTTATCTTCTTCTTGTGGGCGTTTAAATAGATCGGCAGATTTTCTGTCAACTGCTCGATATCCAATTAAACGACGGCCATCAAAAAGCATTCCTTGAGGCTGTAAATTTGAAAAAAATATTTAATTGAAAATAAAATATCTATCAAAATTATGCCCAAAAGATAGACCCAGCCAGTTAATTCAAGTACTCTCGGGCCCCAACAACGATCAGTATAGCTGGGTGATTACTTATGTAAAAATAACCTTATTTTAGTTCAAGTGAAAAGTCCTAATTTTATTATATAATCAAATCACAAAAAATTTTTATTGTTACTCAATGACCTGAGTTCCCAGGCCCGGAATTTGGGTAAACCCCAAATCAGGAAAAAGGCTTATTTTTGTCCTAGACCCAGCTTAAACCTACCACCAAAAGAACAATCTCTAAAATAAAAAAAAAATAAAAATATTTTGTGGACAAAATTTGCAAACTAAAGTTGGCATAAAAAGACATTAACTAAAATAAAATAGGCAAAAAATATAAATATCTCTAAAAACTTATGAAGTAATCACTAAATTATTTCCATAAAAAAATAATTGATGAAAAAAAAACTAACACTTTCCAATTTCTCCAAAAACAAATCGGTTGTAGATTTTTCTGTTAAATGAACAAATGCAGCACCCGTTGGATATTTTGTTTGTTTTGAACGACATAAAATAGCCAAAGAGAAAGGGGCAATTTTGTTTTCAATAAGCCATTGTTTAAATCCTTCATCAGTCGAAGATAAAGGCAAATTTCTTTAAAAAAATATTTGGATTAATTTTGGGGAACCCCATTTAAGTGCGACATTTTTTACTACTATTGCCAACTTCTCTTTTTTGACTAACGCAACCACTGGTTTCATTATAAACCCAGATATATACAGAAATAAGTGCTCACAAGGAAACATTCCAAACTGTATGTAAAAATTCCAAAAAAATTTTGCACCATCATGTAGATCATGGTCGACAATCTATTGCTAATTTTTGGCTTTTTTGACCCTGAGCCCCAAATCAAAAAGTTATAGCCTATTAAAGTTTCAGTATTTTAGAGCGGCAGAGCAGTGGTCAGCGTAGTTTTTTGTTAGTTGGTTAATAAATTTAGCCAACGTCGGTTAGATTTACAAAAGCAAAATACTCATGAATTAGGATTGACCTTCCCCAATTCCCAGCGTGGAAAAAAATGTCACACACAAACAAGACTATTAGTCACAAAAATTTACAAAAAATCAAAAAGTCGTTACCTAAGAAAAACTACCCTTCCTTCACTCAGTGCCACATCACCTTGTCGAGGATTATTATTCTTTCGATTTTCATCTTTCTAAAATTTTATTTTTAAGATTAAAAAAATTGTTTTCAAAATAAAAACCTTAAAATTTTGCTTTTTTCCATTTTTCTCAGTCTTAACAAATTTCGACTCTTTTTGATCTAGCTCATTAGAAACTTCATCATCTTCATCTTCCGAATCATTTTCTTCATCTTCCTCATCCTCAAAGTCATCACCCTCAATATCTTCATCTTCTTCATCTTCAGACTCTTCAGAATGACAAGTGTCGTAGTCATCGTCGTCCGTTTCTGATTTTAAATCTAAAAATATTTTAAAAAGAAGGAGCAAGTGTAAACCTTTTTGTGTTGTTCCCTTAATTGACATTTCCTCTTCCGTTCCAGAATTCATTTCAACATCAACAGGCTCGTCTTTAATTTCTTTTGAGTCTTTTGAATTTTCTAGAAAATTTATGCTAAATAGAAAAAATCTAAAAATTAGTGATTGAATCCTACAAGGGTTGAGAATAAAAAAATCAAAAGATAAAATTAAAATTTCTGGTTCCCTAACTTCTTACTCAACGTATTCAACCCGAAATCTGTTTGCCGAATTAGTAGACTCGTTTCTTTCCCCAGTTTTACTTAATGACCTAATCTGACAATTCCCAACACTGAGGAAGAAACTAATGGGGAGAGGGGTACGAATTTGAATCTTACCAGGCTTAGGAATTAGCGTTAAACATAGATGCTCAAATCTAATTAGAAAAGAACCAATAAACGAACCAACCCGAAATCTGTTTGCCGAATTAGTCACAAAAACAAGAGAAGCCCAAAAAAATCCCACAATTTAACCTAATAAAATACCTTCATGTTGACTATTCTCCCAGTCATCCTTGTTCATTGTCCAATCCAAAGCAATCTTTCTACCATTGAACTTTTTAAAATTTAATTCTTTTTTAGCCGTTTCAGCATCCATTCTTCGTTTAAATTGAATAAAACAAAATCCAGCACAAGAATTTGGAAAGCGTTTGTCCTTGCTTTTAGGCAAATTAATTTCGAGTATTTCTCCAAATTTTCCAGCCAATTTTCTAATGTCCTCTTCTTTTGTCTAAAAAATTTTTTGAAAATTAAAAGAAAAAAAATTCCAAAAAAAACCTCAAATTTTAAATTTCTAACTAAAAGTCGCCATCCTTTAAGGCCCGGTCCTCGATGATTTTTTGCGACAGAGCTCATTTAAAAAATAAAAAAAATAATAATTTTTAAAAGTGCCTGGAAATTTAAAGTTAATTTATTAATCATTTTACAAAAGAAAAAAAATTTTTACAAAAAGAAAACAAATTAACGGGGCACGCCCATTTAGGCGCGCGGCAATAAACGGCGCAAAACCATAACTTGCTGGAAAATTTCTGGCCCTTATCAATTTTGGTATCAAACTCTTCAGCTCGATGAGAGCAATCGTTTAATACTAAATTTGGTAAGATTCGGAAATCTTGAAGAAAGTTATGGCCTTGCGCCGTTATGGCCGCGCGCCGAGCTATACCCCCAAATTGACAGACGGGACATTTCATCGAGAGACAAAAGGGTAAGTAAAAAAAGGTAGTTTAAAGTTTTATAATTTTCTCTCTCAAACAAAAAAAAGTTTCTGAGAAAAGTTATAGTTTTTTTTAATTTACACTTGTTGTGTTTTTAACAGAAAATAAAATTAGCTTTGATTAGCAGAGAAATTTATTGTAAAAAGTCGTCCTAGCGACTTCCATTAAAGTCCTAAAGGAAGTTTTTACAGGATGATATTTTACAATAAAATAAATTTTTCTCAGCTAAGTTGATAAAATATTTATTCAATTAATGGAAAATTTTTATTTATTATTTTTAAAATAATTTTTATAACACTGTTTTTATTTAAGCAATCGCTACAATTTGCTCTAAAATTCCTGGAACCACCATGTTTAATAAAGATTTTTTTCGAAAAAGTCAGATTGTTATTAGTGCCTCCGATATCAAATCTGTAAGTTTTCGAGCAAAATTTAAAATTTTTTTGAATAATTTTGGGGGAGGGGCTAATCCAGCCCGTAATAAAGTATTCTTTTTTCTCATTTTCCTACCTTATTAAATTTTAGTTTGATAAGATGATCCAAGCTGTGTCAAACTGAATTGATAACATGCATACAAACATTAGTCCGGATAAGCTGAGCTTGGAAGTCGCCAATCACCTGCTTTCTTCACTTTGGAATGGCAAGCGATTTAATTTAAAATTAAACTAGATTTTTCTTTAAGCAATAGCTCCCGTTGGTGTACAGGCTCTTGGCCACCGATTCAATACATACAGTGAAAGGAAGAACAGGATTGGGGTGGAAACAACGTGCCTATGGTACGTTTTATCATTTAATTATTAGTATTGTTTCATTTTTTATACACTTATTAACAGTTTTTCTGTTTTTAGTCTTTAGAGTTTTAGGCAAAAATCTTTAGAACACTTTTCAAAACATTGTTTAAAATTAATATTTTTTATTTTTAGCTTCGCAACAGAGCCTCGACTATGATTCTTATTCTGGAAGGCTTAATTTCAACGATGAAAAAAATTACCGAAGCTGAATATCAAGGAATTAAAAACAAGGATCTAAATGCTTTAAGAACTGAAGTTATTACATTCATGGCGGCACAGTAATAGTTGCATCATTTCAGCCAAATAAATTAAACATGGAGGTTATTAATGATATTGTTGAGTTTGTGGGAAGGTAATTTAACTTTATTATCGCATTTTCATTTCCTATTTTAGCCCTTCAAACGGTTGCTCGCAACAACTTGGGAAATGAGTTTAATGCGCTGTTGGGACAGAAAAATGCAATTGGTCGGGGACTAAGCTTGAGAATGTTAGTTTTTCATTTTTATTTTTTTGTTAGCAGTTATTTATCTGTTTTTTGTCTCAAATCAAATATTTTTTTCAGTTGCGAAACCGTGCTTCCACAATGATTATAATACTGAAGCGGATGATTCAATTACTTGGACGCTAATTACAGATGTGAACAATTTTTTGATTGCAACACAGCCTTAAACAAACAAAAGATTTTATGAATTTCTAAATAAACAAATTTATTCTAAATAACAAATCAGTGCACTTCAAAATATGATTGTTTTGATGAGTGCGCTGAATCAAGATACATATAACCAAATTTCGCCAAGAGCACTTGTGGATTTAGAAGCTAACCTTACTAAAGCTATGAATCAGAGTAATAACTACGACAATTGATGAGTAAGATTAAAAGAAAAAAACAAAATTCTGCTATAGTAAAAAAATATCATTTTATTATTTTTTAAATTATTTTTTAAATAAAAGTATGTATGATTTTTATTTTAAAAATTATTTTATAACATTTTTCAAAAATATTTGTGTAGAATTTTAGGTACTACTGAAGAAAAGGGTGCTATTTCTGCGGACTTATTTTGCGGACTTTTCCTTTCTTTCTTTTTTAATGTTTTGGTTGTTTTGCTTGTAGCGAGTTTTGCTTGTAGCAACTAACTGTCAAAGGATTAATTTTTATGCCAATTTGAAAAATGTGTTCACCATTAATTTGAACATTATAAACGATGATAAATGAATTTCAACTATGAATTACTGATCTCGGAATGCTTCATAGAAAATATGTGAATGTGGATCAAAATGCGGGTAATTTCAAACCTTGCCCCCCCCCTCCATTATTTTTATTACCTAAGATTGTACAAAATGGTCAGATTTCCTTCTTCCTCTCTTTCCTCTATTTGAGCTTGGCATATTCAAACCAGAAACATTGTTAAAGAGAATAATAAAATTAATTGAGTTGTTCAATATTGAGTTCAATTTTTTTCAGTTGTTAAATTAGTTTTAAATATAAGTAAGAATGTAATGTTTTTACACAGAATTCATAATGTTATAGACTAAATCAATTTTATTTAATTCTTTTTTTGTTTAACATCGTTTTCGGAGGCAAAAAATAAGTGTATGACTATAAAATTAATCTTCTCTTTATCAATGTCTCTTGTTTGAATATGCCACAGGGCAAATAGAGGAAGGAGGGGAAGAAGAAAATTTGACCTTTATGTACAATCTTAGGTAAGAAAAATAATAGGGTGGAGGGCCTTTGACAGTTAGTTGCTACAAGTAAAACATGTAAAGGAAAGGAAAAGTCCGCAAAATAAGTCCGCAGAAAAAGCACCCTTTTCTTCAGTAGTACCGAATTTTAAATTTATACTAAAAAATGGGCATTCTGGTTATCTCCCACATTTTATTTTTCCTCTCCTTTCCGTATCATTCTCCAAATTAGCGTACTCGGATAAAGTGAATCTAAATATGTGGTGAGCTACCACTTTTGCAATTGGACCAGTGCCGTACTTCTATTTACAATACTTTCATTGTAACTTGCTTCAAGATTTTAGAATCTTACCAAATTTAGAATTAAACGATTGCTCTCATCGAGCTAAAGAGAATTGTTATCAAAATTGATAAGGGCCAGAAATTTTCAGCAATTTATGTCCTTGCGACTAGAGGTCGGCGAAATCGCACTTCAGTGATATCGAGTCAGGATTTTTTTCTCAACCGATGCCGGGATGGGATTCCGAGGGATAAATCCCGAAATATACCGGATCCCGAAAATTAAAAAAAAATCAGGGATTTCGGGATCCTGGAAAATCTCGTCAGGATCTCTTCCGCGCCGACCTCTAATTGCGACGTTATGGCCGCGCGTTTACTTGGGCGTATCCCTGTAAATGCTCTCATTTTTTTATTTCCTTAATTAAAAAAATTTTTTTATTTTTCTAGCTTAAATATTTCGGAACATCTTATAATACCTAAAGCTTGAAATACCTAAACCCCAAAAACTATTGAAATACCTAAACGTAGAAAAAAGCTTGAAATACCTAAGCCCCTAAAACGCTTGAAATACCTAATTGTGGAAAAAAGCTTGAAATACCTAAGCCCCAAAAGCCCTTGAAATGTCTAACCTTGGAAAAAAGCTTGAAATACCTAAGCCCCTAAAACGCTTGAAATACCTAATTGTGGAAAAAAGCTTGAAATACCTAAGCCCCAAAAGCCCTTGAAATGTCTAACCTTGGAAAAAAGCTTGAAATACCAAACACCAGTAAGAACTTGAAATACCAAACTGTTGACCCAACAATGGGGGATGTTGACTCAGTGATGGGGGAAGTTGTCCCGTGAACGGTGGAGCACAAAAATGTTGTCCAGTGAACGTGGGATGTTGATTCAGTGACGGGTGAAGTTGTCCCGTGAACGGGGGATTTTGATTCAGTGACGGGAGAAGTTGTCCCGCGAACGGGGGATGTTGTCCCGTGAACGGGGGAATGACTTTTTTCCAATGACTTTTTTCTAAGGTTAGGTATTTCAAAAATTCTTGGGGTTTAGGTATTACAAGCTTTTTTCCACAATTAGGTATTTCAAGCGTTTTTGGGGTTTAGGTATTTCAAGCTTTTAGGTATTACAATGTTAGGTATTTCAAGCTTTATGTATTTCAAGCTTAGGTATTTCAAGCTTTAGGTATTACAAGATCATACCAAATATTTATTTAATTTGTATTTATATTACTTCAAAAAAAGAAATGTCTGTTGAATCCAACAACAAAAACAATAGCGAGAAGGATGCCGATTTTGATCAAAAACCTCAGATACTTCAATTATTTGTTGTAAGCTTTAAAAAAAATTTTTTTGAATTAAAAATTAAAATTTTCTAGCCCAGCAATCCACTCCATTCCGATGAACATGCTTTAGAGCACAGTTATATTTTTTCTTATTTTATGCGACCTCAAGGAAAATTCGATCCAGAAGATTATGCAATGTTTGCAAATTTTAAAATTATTTTTTTTCATTTAAAAAATTTTTCTCTTTTAGTTTTGTTCAGCCTGTGGCGCGCATTAGTTCGGTTGAACAGGTTTTTTTTAATTTTCTTTTTATTTTCAGTTGTGTGTCAGAGATTCTTATTCTGACTTTAACAAGGGTCAAACTCTTCAAACTGGTGGGCCTCGTGTCCGGGTTTTTTAACTGACCAGACATGTTTCCCGTGTTATGCTTTCCCAGTTAAATCCTCTAATGGCCTGAAACTCTGAAAAAACAGAATTCTGTCAAAGTACCAGTTTTCCGGGATAACGGGCCTTAAACCATGTCCCTGGCCTGCCCTTTCTTCGAATTATAGTTTTGGCCAACACCTTTAATTTATTACAACTTAAAATAGTATATTCCAATAAATTCCAGCATCCTCCCGAAAAACTCAGACTTCATCAAAATATCTAGTTTAACGGCTACGTGCCCAGGAAAGTTTTTTCCCGGGCCCGGCTCATTTTTCGAATTCTAGTCGACACCTTTAATTTATTCCCCATTTTTCTAGTTCTGGTTAATTTATCGATTCATCAAAAGGCCTTCAGGTTTTTTTTCTTTCTGAAAAAATTTTTAAGTTCTCAATTTTATTTTTTAGATCTCACAGAAAAAGTTGATTTTCACTTGTTTAAGGAAGGAATAAAACCAGGTTTTTTTTTAATTTAATTAAAAAATTTCTTTTTCTAAAGTTTGGGAAGACCCAGCAAACAGAAATGGAGGAAAATGGATTTTACGGTTTTTTAGAAATTTTTAAAAAATTATTTTTTGTTAATTTTTAAGGCTGAAGAAGGGACTCTCCTCCAGAATTTGGGAGAATTTGTTGCTGGCAATGATAGGTTATTTTTTTATTTTAGAAATTCTAAATGAGTCACTTTTGGATTTAGTGCTGAAGAAAGTTTGCAGAAAAATTTGCAAAAAATTTTTGTCCGCTAATTTATTTCCGCAAAAAAATTTTGTCCGCAATTTTTTAGGACCACCTCCTTTTTTACTTATTCTATAGTTGTGGTTCCTTAATACCAAAACACCGAACTACCAAACATTTTGAAGTTTTTCCACTATTTCTATTTCGTCGGTTTTTGTTGGCTTGGTATTCAGGCGTTTGATATAAGGCATGCTTTGAGTCTCTAGATATAAAATTAGTTGTATTTTCAGATATGTAGGAGCATTAAATTGTTTAATAAAAAATATTTTGCGGACCGATTTTAACAAAAAATTAAAAAAAACTTTCAAAAAACTTTCGGAGGAAGAAAATGTCCGCAAATTTTGTCCGCATTTTTTCTTTAAGATTTCCAAACAAAATTTTTCAGAATTTTTAACTACCCAAAAATACTTTTCATTTCATTTAATTAAGAAATCCCTTCCTTTCTTTTAAATTTATCAAAAAAAAAATTTTTTTTTTCAGGTGAACAATTTTTGGTTGGCGGTGAAGTTGTTGGTGCTGTTTGCAGTGTTCGAAATCAAGAAGAGTATTCTTTTTAATTTTTTTATTTTTCAAAAATTTTTTAAGTATAATTTCACTTTGGAATCGTTCCTCTGATTCTGCTCCAGTTACTAATAGAATAAGAGAAACACTTCGGAGGGTTTTGAATTTACCGTCGAATGCAATTTTGGAATATAAAAGACACGGTTTGTGAATTACTTAAAAATTTATTTTTGTTATAAAAATTGCTGGGGGAACAACACCCTTGTGGTCAATTCCAAATATATAGGCGGATAAAAATGGGATTTTTTGGGATCAAGAGGGATCCCGATGGACATAGCGGATTAGGATGGATTTTTGGGATTAAGGACACAAGACGGAAATTTTCTTTTGTGTAACAGTCAGATAAGGCAGAAGCGAGTAGGCAGACGTTCTCTTATCTCAAGCCCTCTTTATCTGTCCAAATATTTGGAATTGACTGCTAGGTTGGAGCCAGGTCCCTTACTAAATTAAACACCAAGAATTGGGGGAATCTCATACTATGTATACTAGCTCTCGATGTCCAACCTCTGTTAAGACCATTAAACTTTATGTCCGCAAAATTTCGTCCGCATTTTTTCTTTAGTATTTTTTTTATGAAATTTAATGGTTTCCTCCCTATCCATTGGAAAAGGAAGTGGAAGACGAGGTCATAACCTCTTACCCGTTTAGGGTCTTTAAATCTTTGTAGTCTGCTCTTTCCTGACTAGAAATATTTGTCCTGTTCATAAATGAAAATTTAGAAAAATTCATGAGACTTCTTGAAAATCTTTTTAAAGTCATTTCTGCTTAAAATACTTTTAGACTCTAAAAAATAATTTTTTTTGTTAAGATGATTGTCTAAAAGATCAACGTTCCTATTGCCATTCAACATCTATTGGAGGAGGAAGTGGGGGAGGTCAACAATCAAACCATCATCATGGAGAAGGTAGAGGAGGTGGAGGAGGAGGCAATTTTAGAGGAGGAGGGGGAGGTGGGCAAACAACAAATATGAACAAAAAAGATAAAAAATTGGAGGAAGAAAATGATTAAAAAACACGCCAAAAAAATTTCGTAACAATTTTTTTATTATATTTGGGTTCTTTTATTTTATGCTTTCAAAAATCCGCAAAATTTTTGTCCGCAAATCAGAATATTTTTTCAATTGAGGATTTGAAGAGTTTGAATCAGGGGTGGGTTGGTTGGGTTACCCAACCTTTTTTCAGTCCCCAACACGCGATCCTAAGAAAATTTTGGAGACTCGATCTAACTTTTCTCAATCCAGTCTATTCCTGGTTCGAACCTGTGTCCGCAAAATTTCTGTCTGCAAGTCGAACTATTTTTTTATATTTTTTTTTACTCTGTATCGGACTTTTCGGGCCCGACAGACTATACTTGTTTCTCGGTATCTCATAGCCCGAAGATTTTCAATTTCTTAAGGGTTTTAAATAAATAGTATATAACTTGCGGACAAAACGCGGACTTTTATGAGCATAAAGTAAAATGAACTTTACTATACATAAATATATATTTTTGTGTTTTTGAAATTGTGAAAAAAAGAGAAAATTTTTAAGGGTAAAAAAAATTTTTTTTAATTTTTGTTTGGTCAAAGGTTGTTAAAAAATCCTTTTTTTATTTAAATTTATTTTTTTTTGAAAAAAATTTTTTTCATGCATTTGTTGTTTATCAATTATTTATATACACAAAAGTGTATATATTTCATTGAAAGAATTTCCAAAAATATTTATTTACTCCTTATTTTTGTGTGCTACTTTTCTCTTTAAAGGGTCCCCTATTTACTTTTTTTCCTTTAAAAAGTAAATCAATCTTTTTTTTTTCTTTAAGGTGGTAGTTCCTCACAAAATTAAATTGAATTCATGATATCTCACTATAAGATTATGGTTGGAGGCCGAAAAAATGTCTCGAACGTAGGCCCGATTCGAAAACCCCAACCCTACATAGAATACACATTAGGATTGTGCTCCGTCCCGGAAAGTCGGGAGAATTTGAGACTTTTTTTTTAATTTCCCCGTCCCTCTTCCTCCATCTAAGAACAATCCGTGGGCAGGTTACCCTAAAACCCTGACTTTTCCTCGACTTTTCTTCGACTTGAACCCCAATCCAAAAATTTTTTTTGAAAACCACGTCCAAGATTGAACAGACTTTTTTCTTTTCATTTGCCATCCGGGGGGATGAAATTAAAAACAATACTCCTTATTTAAGATAAACTTCTTGCTATATTTGAGTATTATATAGCTTTTACTTGGGTTCTACTATTCTGGGGACTTGTATTAGACTGACCTAGATTATTTAAATATTTATTTATTCATTAATGCTGCATTCGCTTAATCAAATAAACAATTTGATTAAGCGAATGCAGCACTTCTTTATAAAATCCTTTATCCAAAGAGTGTATGTATTTTATAATTTTGTTTTCAGATTTATTTTTGCATTTTTCAATTTAATAATTAATTTATGGCACTGTCGAATAAAGTATTAATTTATGGAGGCCGTGGGGCACTTGGAAAAGAATTGGTTGACTTTTTTCGATCAAAAAATATTGTGAGGATTCATTTAAAAATTAAAAAAAAATTTAATTTTCAAGTGGGTATTGAATGTGGATATGAGCGAAAGTGAAGCAGCTAATTCAAATGTGCTTGTTGATCCACTCCAATCTTGGGTGGAACAAGAAAAGAATGTTTTGAATGGGTGGGGAATTTTTTTTTCTGAAAATTTTTTGAGGGATTTTCTTGTTTTGGGGACTTGGGAGAGATGTGTGGGGCAGGGATGTGTTGAGAAAATAGTCAAAACTGATTTTTGATAAAAAAAATGCCGGATTTTGGGTATTGAGTTTTTAACAACCCGTCCCATCCCTAGTGAGAGTAGATTTGGACTTGAGCAATGGAAAATGGGTTGGAGGGAGTTGGAAGGGGGATGGGGTCTTTGAAAGGGATCCTTATTGGAGGGGGACTTCACTTTCCGACCCATCCTAGTGTGGGACGATTCGGACTTGAGCAATGGAACAGGGTTGGTTTGAGAGGGAGTCTTGAAGAGGGTCTCTCATTGGAGGGGGACTTCACTTTCCGGCCCATCCCTGGTGTGGGAAGATTCGGACTTGAGTGAAGGAAGAGGGTTGGAAGGGGGGGGAGGTTTGAAGGGGTCTTTCAATGGAGGTGGTCTTCATTTTCTGTCGGAATTTCCAAAGGATAAGTCAACAGGGTATGGAGATTTTTTAACTTGTGAATAAATTTATAAGAGGGATATGTAGTGTGTAACCTTAAAAATTAAATTTAGCCACTGCCTAGCTTAAAAAATTCCCTCGATTCCCCTTTTCAGCGTTGAATCTGTTCTTAATGGAGACAAGCTTGATGCTATTTTATGTGTAGCAGGAGGTTGGGCTGGAGGGAATGCTTCCAACAAAGATTTTATTAAAAATGCGGATTTGGTAAAATTGAAAAAAATATTTTTTAATTTTTAAAAAGGTTTGGAAGCAATCTGTTTGGACTAGCTCGATATCTGCTAAAATTGGGGCAAAATTTCTCAAACCTTCGGGATTGCTACAATTTACAGGGGCGGCTGCGGTGATTCTTTAAAAAAATTTTAATTTAAATTTTGAATTTTAGGCTGTTGAAGGAACCCCTGGAATGATTGGTTATGGAATGGCTAAAGGTGTGGTAAAAATATTTTAATTTTACTAGACTTTTAATGCTAAAAAATTATGTTTGAGTAATTCTGTGTAAAGAAGAATGGGGGGGGGGGGAATAGTTCGAGAGAAATAGTTACTAGTAAATTCAGGGTGCCCCCCCCCCATTTCCAAATCACCAAAAGTTCATGGACTCTCAAAAAGTGGGTAAAATTGGCCTTAAAGGGGCAAGCAAAGCTCTTAGCAATAATTGCCCTATTTAAAAATAAAAACAAAAATTTTGAAACCAAGCTTTTTTTTGGAATGTTTTCTCAATTTTCTAAACTTATTAGAATAATCCTTTTAATTAAGAAAAAATTTTTCTTTAAATTTAAAGCCGCTGTCCACCAATTAGTCAAAAGCTTGACAGACTACAAAACTTCCGGTCTACCAGAAAATGCTGTTCCCTTTGCTTTTTTGCCTGTAACTTTAGACACCCCAATGAATAGAAAATGGATGCCTAAAGCTGACCATTCAACGTTTTCAAAAAAATTTTTTTCAAAATAAATTTTTTTTTAATTTTCAAAGGTGGACACCTTTATCTTTTATTGCCGAAAAATTGTTTGGTTGGATTTTTGAACCTGAAAAGTGTGGAGATTTGCCTAAAGCTGGGGCTTTACTTGAGTTAATTACTAAAGACGGGAAGACTGAAATTAAACAAATTTAAATTAAATTTAGAAAATATTATTTTTAGACAGTCGAAAACCTCGTTATAAGACACACCCAATATGGGATACACCTCTATTTAATAAACACCTTTATTTAAGACACGTCCTTTTAAATTTGGTTGCTTACGGGGCGGAGGGGGATAGCTGCCTGAGCCAATACCTTTGATTCTACGTATACCTCATTATAAGATACCCCCATTATTGGGTACTCCCATTATAAGATGCTCCCATTATAAGACACACATCTATCTAAGATACGTTTTTAAAATTTGGTTGGTTATTAGAGTGGGGGTAGGGGAAGCTGCCTTAGCCAATACCCCTCTATTCTACGTACACCTCATTATAAGGTACGATTTTTCTGAAGGGTGTAACTCATAACGAGGTTCGACTGTATATTACAAATCATTCCAAAATGACTTTATATCTTTAGGTTTTTAAAGAAAAAACGCAGAAATATTGTTGCGGCACGACATCACAAGCATTGATAGTTTTCTAATTTTTTCAAAAATATTTTTTTCATTTTTGCTTAAATTTATTCATTATTTATTCAATAAATAAAATTAAAAAAAATATTTTATTTTTCAAATTTAACATGTATTTTATCTTACAAAAATATTTTTTTATTTTTTTTCTAAATAAAAAAAAAACAAAAAATATAAACCGAAAATTCCTTCCCCATTTTCTCTTTTTAATTTTCTCTTTTCTTTCAAAAAAAAAATTTTTTTTTCTCGAGACTTTATGTTAAAGTCAATCAATAAAGGAGGGCAAACATCTTCAGTTATTTACTTGTTTTTTTTAAATTTTGCCAAAAAAATTTTTTTCTTTTTTAATTTTAGACCTCAAAAATGCTTCTTCTCTCATTATTTTTATTAATATTAAAAACTTTCTTTTTTCTAATTTTATTTATTACTTGCATTTCTTTTCTGGGCATAACTACAGGTGTCAGAAAGGCTTATGTTTATTTGTTGCTTTGGTTGTTTGAGGTGGATTTTTTTTACTTAAAAAATTTTTTTTGATTAAATCGGACCTTTCTGAGGTTGAAAAATTTTATTTTTCAAAAATCAGAATTTCTGAAAAATTTTCAGAATTAAAAAATATCAGAATTTTAATTTAGCCGGTATGTTTAGGCGCCGAGTTTCCTTTGGCGCGCGCTTATAAAATAAATATTAAACGAAGACTTTAAGACTTGAAATTTTGCATAGACATTCTCAATATTGTTATCTACACCCTCCAAAAATTTGAATTTTCAGAAAAATTTTCAGAATTAAAAAAAATCAGAATATTAATTCTTTAACCATTATATTTAGGCGCCGCGTTTCTGTTGGCGCGCGCTTATAAAATAAATATTAAACAAGGGCTTAGAGACTTTAAATTTTCCATAGATATTCTCAATAGTGTTAACTACACTCTCCAAAAATTTGAAAATTTTTGGTCAAGTATTTTCAAAGATATAGGCAAAAGGGTACTCTTGTGTTATCTCCCCCCATTTTATTTTTCTTTTCCTTTCTTTTCCTTTTTCCATAAAAGGCACACATGAATCCGATTAAGATACTGTTAAAGAATTATGGCGATAGGTACCTAGCTTTGGTTTTTTAAGAACCATTGTCCATTATTGTGCTTGTGTATGACTCTGGATGAATAGGGCCCTCTATTCCCTTAAAATATTCTGGTAAGTAACTAGAAGTACTGGTACACATACCAACGTGAAATTGTATCTTTTATTTCAAAATATGGTAACTCACGACATAGATTCAATTTGACTCATGTGCATTTTTTGAGAAATAAAAATGAAAAGGAGAAAAATAAATGGGGGGAGATAACACAAGAGTACCGGCAAAAGATTGCAACAAGGGCAGAATGTTGCGAGTAAATGGGTTATTCTGACCAGAACTTCTGAAATATCAGAACAAAAATTCTGAAATTTTTATTGAAGATAAATATCCTTATTTTGAAGTTCTAAATGAAATTTCATGTCTCTGGATTAATTTTTAGCCATTTTATAAGTCATCGCGCCAAGTGACTTTCGCGCCCAAACGTTCTATTTTTCTGAAAAATATTTAAAATTTTTTTAAAATTTTTTCTTCAGCAAATGGCCAAATTAGAAAAAGAAACAACAAATCCAACAACATTTAATATAGAAACAACTCCAGAAAAAAATTTGGAACAAAATTCTTCCCAAGAATCCTCCTCAAAAGAATCAACTCCCGCCACCACCCCCCAAGATTCTGATAAATTTTATGGAATAATTAAAAGGAAGTGGTCTAGAAATATTGAAAATAAATTGGTAGAACACGTAGGGAATTCTACTGTACATCCTTTAGCTCAAAAAATTGCTAAAAGAGTTGCTAGTCATGCTAAAGGGTTGAAGTTGTTGGCGGAAGTGAGTTTACTTGTTAATTTAAAGTAGTAGGAATTCTTTGAAATTGGTACTGTAGTTTAAGATTGGTAGTTTAAGTTTAGGGTTGGGCCCCGTCTCCGGTGAAGGGAAGTCCCTGGGGACGGAGGGGAGGTCTCACCCCAGAGCCCCTGTTCCTCGTCCCAGCGGTTCGAATTCTCCGAATTCCCCATCCCCCGAACCTGAATTCCCCGCAACCCCCGCTCCCCGTAAGCCAAGCCCCAGTCCCGTAAAGTTGATACCGTAGTTTAGGGGCAGGTAACAGCTTCTACCGTTTCCGCAGCCTAAAATTGTCATTTGTTAAAATTATGCAAAATGGTCAGGGATCATAATGGTCGAAATAAATTCAAATAGCATTGTTACCTTTTTCAATACTGACAATGGACACGCCCAAAACGGCGCGGCCATAACGGCGCAGAGCCATAACTTGCTCCAAAATCAGTTAATCCTATCAGTTTTAGTATCGAACGATTCCTCTCATCGAGTTAGGGAGATTGGTACCAAAATTGACAAGGGCAAGACATTTCCAGCAAGTTATGGCCGCGCGCCGGGCTGTACCTCCCCCCTCCATTTAGGAACAAGAGAGAAGAGAGATACTCTACTGTTTCTTCACTTTCAAGTAGTCTGACAAAATTTTTCTTAAGAAAATTTTTTAAAGGAAGGCAATGAAATAAACGATGCTGAATATGCAACAATTAAAGTATTAGCAGCAGACACTCTAGCTTTTATTACTTCCGGAATTGAAGCAATCATTGAGGATGATGTAACTCAACGGTTTGAAGCTGCACAATTACCAACTTGGAATTTTTTGTCGAGGAGTAGGGGTGGATTGAGAGTTCGGTTAGCGATTGTTAATTGATAAAAAATACAAAAATATTTTAATTTATTCTAATAGACGCCCATCGAGGTTATTTAGGAAGGTCTTCCATCGTAGTGAACCTTTCAGACTCAAATGACCCTTCAAATTTCTGGAGGGGTAACTGTATGTTCATTGGAGATGGGCGTCTATTAGAATAATTATATAACAATATTTTTATTTATTCTAATTGACGCCCATGGAGGCTGTTTTTGGATTTCTTCCTCCTATGGGACTCCAGACCCAAGTGTCTAGGGAAGGACGTTTATTGGGGATGGGCGTCTATTAGAATAATAAAAAAATCAAATAATATGTATTTTAAGGTGGTATTCCTATTGTATCTGGGCTATTGGAGCATTTATTCGTTATGGCTTGCTTTTTCCTTTTCGCTTATCAATTTTTATTGCTGCCAGTTTTTTAATGGGAACACTTCCGGCACTTGTTGGCTATATTCCAAATGAAAGGTGGATAAATAATATTTTTGTTAAAATTTAGAAAAAAATTTGCGGACAAAAAATTTTTTTGCGGACAAAAAAATTTTTTGCGGATAAGATTTGCGGACAAAAAATTTTTTGCGGATAAAATTTGCGGACAAAAAATTTTTTGCGGACAAATTAAAAAATTTATTTTTAAGTCTCCGTTCATGTTTCTACCAGTTATCAATGTTAATGTGTATGAGAATGTGCATGCGTGCATTTTCTACAATTATTACTTTCCATGGGGAAGAAAATAAGCCTAAAAATGGAATTTCTGTTGCAAATCATACTTCTCCTATTGATGTTATGGTGGGTTTTGAAGGGCACTTTAGGGCGAATTGAGGTCTAAAATACACATTTTTTAGATTCTCTCAACCGATAATTGTTATGCAATGGTGGGACAAAGACATGATGGTTTCCTTGGGTTAATCGAAAAAGCCTTGGATAGAGGAGCTCATCATATATGGTTTGAACGGGTTGAGAGTAAAGATAGGCATGCTGTTGCTAAGAAGTAAAATTTTAAAAACTTTCATTTTGCCAAAAATGGACAAAATGTCATTCTAGCCAAAAATGGACATTTGGTCCATTTAGCCAAATATGGACATTTGGTCCATTTAGCCAAAAATGGACATTTGGTCTATTTAGCCAAAAATGGACATTTGGTCCATTTAGCCAAAATGGACATTTGGTCCATTTAGCCAAGAATGGACATTCGGTCCATTTAGCCAAGAATGGACATTCGGTCCATTTAGCCAAATATGGACATTTGGTCTATTTAGCCAAAAATGGACATTTGGTCCATTTAGCCAAAATGGACATTTGGTCTATTTAGCCAAAAATGGACATTTGGTCTATTTAGCCAAAAATGGACATTTGGTCCATTTAACCAAAAATGGACATTTCGTCACATTCAAGTTTTTGACTTTTCCCCAACATTTTTTAGGTTACAAGAACATGTAAAAGATCCATCAAAAATGCCTATTCTAATATTCCCTGAGGGGACATGTATTAACAACACTTCCGTTATGTTATTCAAAAAAGGGTCTTTTGAAGTGTCTTCTGTGGTTCATCCTATAGCTTTGAAATATGACAGCCGTCTAGGGGATCCTTTCTGGAATAGGTAGGTAGTTGAGATTTTGAAAATTTTTCTTTTCGACATTTTGAAACCTGGCAAAGCTCTAAATCTCTAGATATCTACCCTAATCCACCGATACCCCCCTTAATCGCTTAAGATCTACTCATATCCCTCCATATCCATCGATATCCAACTCGATCCCTCGATGTCACATACAGGTCCCTGATATTCACTTTAAGCCTTCCAAATCCAGGGATATCCCTCTTAAACTATTTTAAACATTAAATCCACGGGGACTTTGTTGAGGTCTATACAAGGGGGACTCAATAGGGGGATCAATTGAGGTATACCGCTGGAAATGGCGATTTTGAAATTTGAAATTTTTCTAAGTTGACATTTTGAAACATTTTTTCAGTCACCGTCAAGGCTATTTGTCCTATTTACTTGGTATGATGACTTCTTGGGCCCTAATTTGTGATGTTTGGTATTTACCTCCAATGCATCGTTTGGAAGGAGAAACATCCATATCCTTCGCTAGAAGATGTCAAAGAACAATAGCCCAAAAAGGGGGTTTAGTAGATTTGGGTTGGGATGGAAATTTAAAAAGAACAAAAGTCCCGGAACGCTTGAGAGATGAACAAAAAGAATTATTTTATCAATATTTGGTACAGACAACCCCTATATGTGAATGTGGAAGGGCTAGTAATGAACAAATTGAAAGTATTCAAAGGGGGGTAAGTCTGTGTGGATTTTTTTTTGTGGTTGAAAATAGAGGTGGGATTAAAGCAAGAATGCGTGTCTAAGAGTTAGAGATCGAGCTGGGTCTGGACCAAGGCTTGGGGTTTCCTTTACCCAGAGTTCAGGCACCAACATTTTATGCCCTTCCTGGGTTTTACTGGGCCCAATTATAGATGCTCTATTATAGATAAAAACGGGGTAATGTTTACGAGATCTTAAACCACCCTCCTAGTCAATTGGATCGATCTCCTTCCTTCCGGTTCCCAAGCATATGTAGGTATCGTTTTTGGGAGGGGAGATTTTACATTGTGGACTTTCCTTAGAAATTTGTTTTATTGAGAAAAAATTTTTTTCTGTTCTAAATTTTATTTTAAAGATACACCCTGAAGTTTTTAATAATAACGAACAAAAAACAAATAATGAAGTCGAGAATGAAACGAACGGTTAATTATTGTAAGATAAATGAGAGATTTTACAGTATTTTCTTTGAAATTTTTTTGACGGGTTTTTAAATGCTGCCTTTTTATATATTTTTATTTTTATATTTCGCTAGATATTTTTTAAAATATTTTTTTTATATTCTTGAAAACATAAAAAGATTACTTAAATTATTTTTTTATTCGAAAAAATTTTTATTTTTTAATTAGTGAGCGGTTAAGTATATAGATGCGGACTCGCGTCAGTTTTCTTCCTCTAACTCTTGAACCCAGTATTCTATCAAAACATATTTTATATCATTCGATAGAGAATTGAATTCTCTACAAAATTTGGCTAAAAACAAAATTCTAGTCGAAAACCTTAAAAAGTTGTAGTCGGAAAACTTGCCGTTATTGAGGAAAATTGTCAATTTTAGCTAGTTTTTTGACATTAACTTTGTTGCAAGGTTGTAAAAAATTTTGATTTTTATAACATTTTGTAGCAAATTCAATTCTCTATCGAATGGTATATAAAGAATTTCTGTAATCCAAAGACGTTGGGACTTTAGAGGCTTGAAGTAATCCGAGTCCGCATTGGAGAGAATTAAAACATTGAGAATTTAAAAATTAAAAAAATTCAAAATTTAATTTAATAACATTCCAAAAATATTTTTTAATATTCAAGCCTTAATTTTAGCATCTTTTTTCTCTTCATTTTGAATTTTATTAGGTTCTGTAGGCGTTTTAGACCCCAAAGGTTGATTTAATTCCTTCGCTTTTACAAGCAAATTTTCTGCTTTTTCCTCTTTTTCTTTCTCAATATTCTGATTTTCTGCTTTATCCGAAGATTTAATTTCTTCTGTTTTTGGTTCCTGAATTTTAAACTACTTTTTAATCAAAAACCAGAATAGTTACTCTAAGAAGGAGAGATTAAATTTTGAAAACCCCTAATGGCCACGACTAAAACCCATGGATCTAATGGACTAATACTTATAATCATAATCTTAGACGGACCTCAATAGTAAACACCCCTCGGGGCTAAAAACTCGGACCTCACATACAATCGGACCTCACTTACAAATGTGAGTTGATTAAAGGGCAAGTGAAGAGAAGAGAGAGAAAGAGAGGGAGTATCTTAATGGCACAATCGGACTAGTAAACACCCCTTGGTAACACCCTTGGGTGTTACACTAATAAACACCCCGTGGGGCTAAAAACTCGAACTTTACTTACAAATAGGAGTTAAATTAATGGGACATTTGAACAAGTTTTGAGAATAAAATGTTTATCTCAAAGGGAGGCCTACTGTCTCAATAAATCACCTCGTTTTTTGGCATCTCTTGATTAATATCAATTTTTGGCTGTTCCGTAGCATTATTATACACGGTAGCTTCTTTATTTTCCGCTGTATTTTTAATTGTTTCAATTTCTGGTTTTTCTTTTTCAGAAATTACAGAAACATTGTTGTTTGTTTCTTCTGTTTTTGAGGCCTCTTTTGTCTCTTCCTCAACCTTGACAGATTGTTCTGTACCTTCTAAAGCGTTAATAGAAGAGGCTACGGTAGATGTTGGTTGTTGTTCTTCTGATGCTTTTGTAGCGTTTTCGGCTACCTAAAAATTTTAAGAAATGTTTCTCAAATATATTTTTACCCTCCGTAAAGAAATTTTAGGGTGGGAAGAGTTTGAGAAGGAATTAATAGATTAGGTCATTTTTATGCTTTTCCAGATACCCAAAGCTCTCAGTTATTCCTTCCCGAGGACATTATTTATCTTCCTAAATTTCTGACTTAACTCAGAAGTGGGATAAGAAAAAGGTTTAAAGAAGGGGCTGGTTTAGTTTATGCGTCCAATGAACTTTTATGCGTCCAATCAAAAGAAGATTGGATTTTCTTGGTATTGCAAAGTGTATGGTTCCAAAATTCTTATTCATGTTCGCGATCTCCGACAGCAAGGTCTGGGACCATTCCTTACCCTATTCCTCGAATTTTCTTTTGATTGGACGCATAAAAGTCCATTGGTAGCATAAACTAGACCAGCGCCGAGTTAAGTCACAGAAATACTCCGATTGTAAAATTAAAATTTTTTCAATTTTCTTTTTTTACTTTAATCTCCGTTGTCTCAGTTGAATTTATTATTTCTTCCGTAGCTGGGGAGGTTGAGGCTTCTGTTGTCGGAGAAACTGTTGTCGACTCTAATGTTGATGGCTCTATTGTTGTAGACTGTGTTGCATTCTTTGGAAGTGCCTTCAATTTATTTTTATTTCTAATAGCCTCAATTTGTGCCAAAATTTTTTCTCGACGAATTTTTGCTCGTTCTTGTCTCTAAAATAATTTTGAGGGAGAAATTAGAAAATTAAAAAAAAATATTTTCAGAAGACTTCCCAATACAAAGCATCTGCATTCTTTCCGTTCTTGGTGTCTGTCTCCCGGAAATTTGGGCACCAAAAATTTGGACACTGAAAAAACAAAAAGAGAAAGATTTAGCTGGTGCCCAAATCTCCTTTTTTTCTATTTTTTAAAATTAATTTCTTTCCGGAAAATCCGAAAACAAGGCATTAACTAGACTCAGTAACAAATGCCAATCTATAGCTTATAACTCAGTAAATAATTAATCTCTTGAGATGAGGTATATATCATTCGATAGAGAATTAAATTTGCTACCAAATGATGGGAAATCAAAATTTTGGAAAAATCCTAAAAAATGTTCCAGCCAAAAAACCAACATTTTAGCCTATTTTCAGGAGTATTTTGACCACAACTTTTTTGTTCGTTTATGTAAAATTCTGATTTTTATTTCATTTTATAGCAAATTCAATTCTCTATCGAATGATACCAAAACTATGCCAAGATATTCATGTTTTCTTCAGTTATGTCCAAAAATTCGTTCTCACCTCCTTCCTACGCTCCGCAAACCACTTTTTCATTTCAACCCTTCTATCAGCTAAAGGTAACTTCATCCAACGTTTATATTCTTCCTGGAATCTCTTAACCCTTTCTTTACGTTCCTCACTTCGCTTTTTAGCTTCAGCACGGGCTTCTTCCAATTTAATTTTCCATTCCGGCATAGGCGTTTGGGTGATTTCCTTTAAGATTTTTTAATTTTTTTAATTAAAAAATCTTCAAAAAACTAACAAGACAAGCACTCGATTTTTCAAAATTTTCAGATTTTTCAGAATTATTAGACAAAGAAGTCGGCTTTTCCGTTTCTGCTTCTATTAAGTTTTCCCCGTTGCATAAAGTTGTAGCGGAAATAAAAATAATAGCAAAAAATAAAGAAAAGGGTGTTAGCAACATGTTTTAATTAAATTCTGAAATATGTACTTATAATTAAATTAAATCAGAATTATTCCAAGTTTATTTAATTCTCAAGTTTATTTAATTTCAGAACTTGTTGTAATTTAATTCTGATTTAAATGAGAAAAATCAGAATTTAAATTGAACATATTCTGGTTTTTTTCTCATTTAAATCAGAATTAAATTACAACAAGTTCTGAAATTAAATAAACTTGAGAATTAAATAAACATAATTATTTAAAAATCAGAATTTTGTGTTTTCGATAATTCTGATTTCAAGTTTAATTTCTGGTTTTGAGTTTGTTTATTCAAGTTTAATATTATCCGATCAGAAAATGAAATCAGAATAAAAACAGAATTAATATCAGAATAAAAATCAGAATTGAGAACAGCTTTCTCTCGTTTTGATAAAATCAGAATTAAAACCAGAATAAAAATCAGAATAAAAATCAGAATTAAAGCAGAATTGAGACCAGAACTAAAATAAGAGTCGAAGTCAGAATTAATTTCAGAATTAAAGCAAATTTATGATCAGAATAAAACCTAGAATTTAACCAGAATTTAAACCAGAACTAAAATCGGAATAAAAACCAGAATAAAAATCAGAATTTAACCAGAATAAAAACCAGAACTAAAACCAGAATAAAAACCAGAATAAAATCAGAATAAAAATTTGAACTATAAATACAAGAAATTCTGATTTATTCTGAAAAGATGTCCATTATAGGTAAATAATATTACCAAAAAATTGAGTGAATATATTTTTAATAGTTGAGGAGTCGATAAGTATCTGAACGTTTTGAATGAGAATAAGGAAGGAAGGAGGGTTTAGTGTGTGGTCGTCGGTCATTTTTGCATGTATCTTTTTTTTTGATTTACCGAGGTAGGTCAATATTTAATTGTAGTGAGGGGAGGGATTGCTTATTATCTATAAGTTCTGTTTTTGTACTTTTTATTTTATCCCCAAAAGATCAACAGAAAAATTTTGTAAATTTGATTAAAGAAAAATTTTAGGTTTAAAAAATTATTAAAAAAATTTTGAACTAAAATAAGTTCAGGATTTTTTAGACGGAAAATGCGGACAGTTATATGGGGTGGGAGTAGATTGGAAGTAGATTGAGAGTGTCCTCTTTTTGAGAATGGATTATACGAGATACATATTCCTAGAATATTGCCCCAGAATCCGAGATTTCTGTTCGTGATCTTGTCTCGATCGGGTCGTAATTCCCATGTCTATGATAGTTTCAATAGAGCAGGAAAACCAAGTATTGGATACTTAATGGCGTTCATTTTAATTTTATTTAATTTTTAATTTTGTCTGTAAATGTGTGTGGATTATTAATAAAATTAAATATACCCTATTAAATACACCTCAACTTCCGAAAAAACATAAGAAATTATTCAACTCTAATCTGAGATGTAAAAAATTTTTCTTGAGAATTTTGCCCGATTTTCCTCCTTTTTTTACCCAAATTTTTTTCAAAATATTTCTTTTGTCGTCATTTTATTCCAAATATTTTTATCTACAAACACCCATTATTCACACAAATTTATCCAAAAAATGTACTTTTCTTTGAAGAAAATGATGGAATGTTTTGTTTTTCTCAAAATAAATATAAAGTAAATTTAGTTAAAAACGTGAAATGTTTACCCCTAAAATTTAAAAAAATAAAAAGTTTATTTTTTGGAGAATTTTGAAAGAAGATAGGTTTTGTCCGCAAATATTTTGCAGAATCCGCATTTTGAGTTGATATAATTTTTTAAAATTTCCTCAAAACTTTTAAGACCTTGGAAAAATTCCGTCATTTCTCCCAGAAACCAATTCGGACAAACGATATGTCATTCGAAAGAGCTCGCCGAGCTGAGCCGAACGACACCAAAATTAGCTTCGGGACTCACATATGGACCAAGTTATAGGTCCCTGAAAATCGAAAAACCATAGGGGGGAGTAAGCTGATTTTTGGGGTGAAAAATTCGATTTTTCGAATGATAGCTCATTCGAAAGAACTCATCGAGCTGAGTCGAATGACATATTGTTTGTCCGGATCGGTTTCTGGAAGATATGACGGAATTTTACCAAGACCTTTAAGCCTTGAAACTACCCCATACATTAAAAAAATTAAAATAATTTTTTGTCCGCAAATATTTTGCAGAATCTGCATTTTTTATTTGCAGAATCCGTATTTTTGTTAATATAATTTTTAAAAATTTCCTCAAGATTTTTAGACTTTTAAGGCTTGGAAATACCCCATATATTAAAAAATGAGAAAAAAATTTTCTCTTTAAAATACCTTAAAAAGAAATATTTGCGGACATAAAATGCGGACATTTACCTAAACATTAAATTTATATTTTAAAAAATTTTGATAATTTTTCTTGAGGCAATTTTAATTTTCCCCCATCATTCTTTATTTTTTGCTTTTTTATTTTTTAACCTTAACAGCCTTTTATGTGTGGCTTTAGGATATTCCCCTGTGTAAGCTTAAAAATTATTCCCTGCCCTCACGTGGCACATTCTTCAAAAATATTTTTTTTCTATTGTCTTTCCCTTTCAGGCTTTTATTTTAATACAGCCATTGTTTGATAGGAAAAAAATTTTTTTAATAGAGGGGAACATATAGGAGGTTAGTCTGTGGATAACTTGTTCTAAATTATCAAATTCTGAATCTGAGCAAGGTTTTAGTTCATCTTGTTGAGATCCCTTCATCGCACTGTAAGGCATCCTGGATTTGAGATTTAAAAAAATTTCAAGAGGTCAGTTCTCAAAAAATATTTTTTCGCAAATTTTTGTACGGAAATATGTTATCCGCAAAAAATTATTTTCCGCAAATATTTTGCAGAATCCGCAAAAATTTTTTATCCGCATAATTTTTGTCCGCAAGTTTTTTCGTCCGCAAATTTTTTCGTCCGCAAAAAAATTTTTTTTATCCGCAAAATTTTTTTTTATTTTAAAATAAAATTTTTTTGGCATTTCTCTATTTTACATATACCTAATTTCTTTTAATAAGTCTCAAATAATTTTATTTTTTTCCTTTATCTTTTTTTTTATTTAAATTTGTGTATGTCTAGTTTAATTGGAATTGTTTTCTCTTTTATTTAAGCCGAGAGGGAATAAAAGAAAAATAAAAATGGGGCCAAAAAGAAATGCCAGAAAAAAATCTAAAAATAGTAAAAAAAATTTTATTCTATATTACTAAAATTCCAAAGACGTTTTTTGTTTAAATTTAATGCATTTCCTTAAATTTCCCTGGAATTGTTACAATTTTTTTTAATTTAAAAAAGAATTAATAAATTAATAAAAAATCCCCCTCTTTGCTTCTCAATTCCCTAAACTGAAATATTTTTTTATTTTTTTACTTCCTTATTATTTTTGGGGAAATTGCATTTTTTTTCCTAAAATTTATTTTCTGTTCTAATTTTTATTTTTTTTCAGGTCAGAAAAAAATTTCCGGGTTTTACAAAAATTGAAAAAAAATTTCCCCTGAGGCAATAAAATTTTAGAAAATAAAAACAAAATGTTAAACATTCAGTGTTGGATAGTTACAAATATTTAGAGGAGTAAATAAGGCAATATAAAGCATTAAAAGGGAGATTTATTTGTTGAGTTGAGTAAGTTGCCCACGTTATGAACAGAAAAAATTTTTTCCAAATCCCTCGGTTGTTGTCAGATGGAGGATTGCTGTTTCAAGCCAACGTCCGCTTCGAGCCGACGTCTGATGCATTATTTTCGAGCTAGGGGGTTTTTCGATTTGGTTCGTTTTAAGTCGTGTTACTTGTCTTTTTCGAGCTAGACAGCCTCGGATTGCTCGATCCTTCATCTCTCTTTCGTGCCTCTCTCTTTGAGCGGGCTCGCGACCCTTGTCTGTTGGGTAGATTTTGGGTAGCTCAGGATTTCTAATATGTATATTTTTTTGTTTTTTCCAAAACTTTTTTATTTTACTCTCAATTGTTTTCAACTTGAAGTTTTTGTTTTTAATTTTGTTTTTGTTTTTCATATTTTTTTGTTTTTTTTATTTTTATTGTGCCTCTAGGGAAATTTAGAAAATTGTTTACTATTTATTACGTTTTGAGTCCCCATATTTATTTTTAAAATATTCTATTAAAATTATTTTTGCTTTTAATTAAAATTGAAAAAAATGATTTAGAATTATGCAGAAATAAAATTCCTAAAAAATTTTTTCACAAAATTAAAAAAGGAAAATGCCATCCTTTACATTCCTTCTAGTCACGGTCCTTGTGTGCGCCTTTCCACATAACTTTTGTAAAAATTATACGATTTTTATAATTTTGGTATCATTCGATAGAGCAGGAAATTAGCTACAAAATCAGCCCAAAACCAAAAATTTATTTTGTATAGACCTAGAGTATGGTCAAAAAACTAACTGAAGGTGAATTTTTGTTAGTCTTTAGACCTCAACTTTTCGCTTTAATTTTTTCTAAATTGTTTAAAAAATTATTTTTTGTTGCAAATTTAATTTCCTATCGAATGAAGCAAAAATTTCCCTGAAAAATTAATTTCATAATGAAATTTTTGTTTTAATGTTTTTTGGTTACAGGCTCATAATGGTCAGACTTGATTAAATTTTTCTATAATTTTTTTAAATTTTTTATAAAATTTTTTATAGTCCCTAATTCGTTATTTAATTGTCCAAATATTTTTTTATGACAAAAAAATAATTTTTAAAAACAAAAAAGAACACTCGAGAACTGCAAACAAATGCAAACAAAATAAAATAGTCTGACCGGCAAACAATTAATAAAAAAACTTTTTTTCTAATTTATTTCTACTTCCTGTTCTCTCGCCATAAAATTGAAAATTTCTTTTGTTTAGTGTTTAAAAAATATTTTTAAAATTATTTAAAGTGCAATACTAACAGAAACGAAAATTTTTTTAAGTGAAAAACCCTTTGTTTATAATTTCAAAGTTCTTGAGAGTAAAGAGTTTGTAGTTCCTTTCCCGCAGATTTTTGCTTTTCTTTATTTCCTTTTTTTATTTTTTTTTGTTTTAATAATGTGTTAAGATGTTTATTTGTTAAAAAATAATTTTTTAAAAATTTTATGTCTTTCCAAATACTTAAAAAATATTTTTTTCACTCACTAACACTAAGGGTGTTCGGGTGAGTTGGCGCTTGCGCGAATGCTTATAAAATGAAGATAAGAGAACTTAGAGACGTGAAATTTGGTATGAAAAGCTTTAATAGTGTTAGGTAACAGATCTAAAAATTTCAGAATTTTCTGCTTCGTATTTCAGAAGTTCTGATCGAAAATATCAGAATTATTGAGGAAAACGTCAATTTCTGTCAATTCTTCTTCCATAACTTTTTAACTAAATCACCAAAAATTCTGAAATTTTTACAGACGTTAGATAACTCTATTAAGATAGTTAGTACAAAATTTCACGTTTATAGGTTATCGTATGGCAAGTTTATGAACCTACGCGCAGCGTCATTCTGCTTCTAAATGCTTCCTGCATGCCACAAACGTCACACTTCCCTAAAAAGTTTACCTCATTTGTTAGAAAAAGTTTTTAAAAAAGTTTTAAAAATTCCTTTTGTCTATAATCAAGCAAATAAACTCCATAAAAGTGTAAAAAATTTTTTTAAACAAAATTCACGGTTCATTAATTCTGTAGTTGTCTGCACATTTTTATATAGTAATTTATAATTTAATTTTCACCTAATTTTATTTTTATAAATTTTAAGAAATTTTTGGAAAATTATTTTAAATAATAAGCAAAATTTGTCTTTAAAAATGTCATTTCCTTTCCAATTTCCTTTTTAAGTTCAAGAAAAATTTAATGTTTTATGTTCATTTATGTTCATAATGACGCGTGGTTCGTTAGCTGGCGGGATTATATAAACTAACCTAGCGAGCACCTAAAACCTCAATATTTTGCTCAGATATATTTGATAGTGTTAACTACCTTATCTGAAAATTTCAGAATTTTTGGTTCATTATTTTCCAATTTATGACTAATAAAGCATCTAAAGGCGTCATATTTTAAACTAATTCTGATATTTTAACCACAACTTCTAAAATAAAAAACCAGAAATTCTGAAATTTTCAGACATTTTAGATAACACTATCAGAGATATCTATACAAAATTTGGTGAGTTTATGTGGCCCTCGGGGGTTTCTATAAGCTTGCGAACTTTCGAGGTACGCGCCTGTAAGCTTCCTCTCTACCTAGAATTTCCTCGTTAAAATTGAATATTTCCAATCTAATATTTATTTTTAACTAATTAAATGCTCCAATTTCAGTTATAAAAAAATAAAAATGATTACAAGTAACAGTAACGGAGCTATTCAAATTTCTATGCGCAATGACGGGCAGAACGAGCTTATGGGAATGTTACCTTCAGAAAATGTTGAAAATAATCATCGACTGGCTTTTTCGACCTGTCAAGCAGAAATGCCTAATATTGTAATTAATTTTTGAAATCAAAAATCAGTCAAAATTTCAAAAAAACCTTTCAAAATGTCGAAAAAATTTTTTTCAAAATGTCAAAAAAAATTTTTTTCAAAATGTCAAAAAAAATTTTTTTCAAAATGTCAAAAAAAATTTTTTCAAAATGTCAAAAAAAATTTTTTCAAAATGTCAAAAAAATTTTTTGTCAAAAATTTTTTTCAAAATGTCGAATTTCAAAATGTCAAAAAATTTTCAAATTAATTAAGGTACAAACAACAAATAAACCGGTCGTTTTAATGACAGCCTCAGAGCTAAAGTATAACAGATCCACAGAAAATAATGGAGAGAATAATGGAGGAGGACCTGGATTGTGTACTGTAGGAGTTAGACATTTGGAGTTGAAAAATTGAATTGAAATTTCTAAAAAATTATTTACTAGTTTTTTTTTTGTATTTTACAGTCGTCGACATAAAGATAGGGACAAGAGTAATTTAAATTTAAATTCTTAATTTTTCATTCAAAAAATACGTTCTATATATCAATCGAAAGCTCTATTCGTATCTCGGTTGACATGTTTCTGCATTTTTCATGAAATTGAAAATTGACCGAGATAATCCGGATCTACCGGATATACCAAATCCTATATCCTCGGAAAAATTTTTCGGAACAAATTTAACAAACCCATTTGATAAAGCATATTTTTGTGAGTATTTATCACAAAACCGCTCTGAAATATCTTTTTCCGGACCAGAGATATGATTTTTTGAAAATGGCATTTTTAGCCTATTTTTGCAAAAAATTCAATTTTTAAGGGAAAAATGCCATTTTCAAAAAATCATATCTCTGGTCCGGAAAAAGATATTTCTAAGCGGTTTTGTGGAAAATACTCACAAAAATATGCTTTATCATTTGGGTTTGTTAAATTTGTTCCGAAAAATTTTTCCGAGGATATAGGATTTGGTATATCCGGTAGATCCGGATTATCTCGACCAATTTTCGATTTCATGAAAAATGCAGAAACATGTCAACTGAGATACGAATAGAGCTTTCGATTGATATATAGAACGTATTTTTTGAATGAAAAATTAAGAATTTAAATTTAAATTACTCTTGTCCCTATCTTTATGTCGACTACTGTAATTTAAAAGAGAGGATTATACCTTGAAGATCAACCTTGACTCGATTTTATAAAAAAGAGTATTAGTGTCTGGAATATTTTTTGAATTTTAGGAAGCAATTTATTAGAGAGGTTGATCTTCTGGGTATAATACAAAAATATATTGAAGCAGACTTGCACATAGACACGGATTTTGGTATCTGGATCAGGGTGGCCCTTTTGCCTCTGGGAGGCATTTCCCCCTTTTTGACCTTCTGCCTCCTTTTTTCCACCTTCTGGCCACCTTTTTGCCACCTTTATACATTGCCCTTTTTTTGGGAACCCATGCCCTTTTGGTGAGTTGGAAAGGGTCAGGACCCTGATTCGGATATATCCGGCGGACATCCACAGGCACAGAATATTAGCTGTATCAATATTAGTGTTATACCGGAACCGGAATTTTGACCGGAACCGGAAAAAAGACACCGGAACTTTCCGGAACCGGAACTTCCGGTGAAACTCTAACCCATAGCCTTATCCATGTGCTGGTCTGTATTGAAGCTTTTCTCGCTTTATTTTATAATTAAATTACTCTGATTTTTAAAGAGATTTACCTATATTATACACAAATGATTTTAGAATAAATATAACAAATATTTTTGTTAATTTTCTTAATTTTTTTCCTTCCCTTTTTTTAATCCTCTTCCGATTAAAAAAAATAAAAATTTATTTAAAAAGGCTATTAAATGCCTTTAAATAATTAAATAAAAATTTTTTCTTTTCTTTTATTTAATTCATTAAATTAATTTTCTTTTCTTTTTTTTTATAAAATGCCGCTTTTTTGTAATTCATTATTCTCTCCTTTCTTTTTTAGTAATTTCCGCCTTTTTGATGAATAATTGAAAGGAAAAAGAAAGGCATTTTTGGATTAGTTAGAAGGTTGGAGAATACATACAAGATTGATTTTTAGTTAAAAATGTCCGCAAAATTATCTTGGCGGACAAGAGTTGCGGACAAAATTTGCGGACAAAATTTGACTCTAAAAAATGTCCGCAAATCAAGTTGCGGACAAGAGTTGCCCAAAAATTGTCCGCAAAATTTTTTTGCGGACAAAAATAATTTGCGGACAAAAGTTGCGGATAAAAATTGAAAATTTTATTTTTATAAGAAAACAAAGATACGGTAAAAATAAATTAGAAATATTTAAAAATAAATTAAAGAAAAAATAAAAAAATTATATAAAAGTATTTTGAGCATATAAGTGTCGAAGTCGCAAGCTTCGACGAGTCGCGATGCCCTCATTCAAAGCAATTTTGACGATTTTTTTGGGGGATTCCAATAATTTTCCATTTTGTTTGCCATTTTCTTCTCCCATTTTTCCAAATTTGAGAGAATCTGGAGGAGAAAAAGATTTTCGAACACTCACAAAATCTGAAAATATTTTGTAGAATTTTTTTTTTTTTTTTTTTTTTTTTTTATTTATTTATTCACGTAAAATCAAAGGGCACAAATTTAGTAAAAAATATATATGTGCCACTTACATGCAGTGAATGTAACCCATTTAATATATATGTATGTATGAGGAAATTAAGACTATTTTTTAGTAGTATATAAATGTATTATTTATTTCCTTGGCTTTTAATAAGTGATTTTTAAGTAATATCCAAAATTGTTTTGGAGTTTTCGAGTTAATTATGTTTTCTGGGAGAGAATTCCAAGTATTTGTACACCTATTTATAATCCAATTTTCAGTTTTAGATGTTTTCCTTAAAATTTGTATTTGTTGTTTGTGTTTATTTCTTTTAGTTCTGGAGGAAAATGTTATTAATGTTTTAGGATTGATTGAAGTAAAGTGATTGATAATTTTATAAATCAAGGTTAAATCGTAAAGAGTACGTCTTAGACTGAGACTTTCTAGGTCGAAAATTTTTAACCTATCTTGATAAGCGATTTTGGATCGTTTACATTTTCTAAGAGCATGAAGGGTGTAAAACTTTTGAACTTTTTCGATTTGATTAGTAAGTGTTTTCGTCATCGGATTCCAGATTTCAGGTCCATACTCAAGTATGGGTCTAACATAGGATTTAAATGAAATAGACCATATTTTAGGGTTGGTTGAGTGAATAGTCCTTAAAAGTTGAATGGAGCGGTAGAATGCATTTTTAACAATTTTGTTGATGTGGGAATTAAAGGAGAGAGATTTTGTGATTTCGATACCTAAATCCCTAATAGATGAGGTTTCTTGGAGGATAATATCATTAATTTTGTATTTTATACCAGTGTTATTTTTACCGATATGAAGAATAAAAGTTTTATCATGTGCTATTGGAAGGGCCCAGTCCTGACTCCATTTATTTATCGAATTCAGTCCTTTTTGTAATAATTTGGAGTTATTATTGTCAAAGTGCTCGTAAATTTTTGCATCGTCTGCATATAGTTTTATGTGTAGGTGTTGGGGAAGTACCCCAGGGAGATCATTTATATAGACAAGAAAAAGAAGTGGGCCGAGGACCGACCCCTGGGGTACACCCGATTTGATTTCGTATGAAGAAGAGAGACTTTCCCCAATTTTTACCCGAAAGGTCCTATTAGTGAGAAAGTCTTCAATCCAACTTAAGAGTTTTCCACTAATACCTAAATTTTCTAACTTATAAATTAAAAACTGAATAGGTACGGAGTCAAATGCTTTGCGGAAATCAATATATATACAATCTGTAGATTCACCCTTTAATATTGTTTCATACCATGTTTGTAATGTAGAAATAAGCTGGGTAATTGTAGACCTCCCCTTTAGGAAACCGAATTGATTGGGATTAATTAAATTATTTGTCATGAGGAAGCTAATGATTTGTTGGGATATGATTTTTTCAAATACTCTGCAGATGGTGCTGGTTAGGGAGATAGGACGATAATTTGATGGATTTGATTTTAGCCCTTTTTTGAATATTGGGATGATGATAGATTCTTTCCATTGTTTGGGAATTTTACCATTGTCTAGTGATGTTCTGAATAGTTCGGTTATTACTGGAGATAGTGGTAGGTAACAATGTTTTAATATTTTATAGCTTATACCTTCCGATGAGGTTGAATTTTTTGCTGGGGAATTTTTGAGTGCGTTAGCCACTGTTATAATATCAAAGTTTACATCATTTAGATTATGGTTAGAATATTTGGGAAGTGTAGGAGGATCTCTGGAGGGAACATTCTCAAAGTATTTTGAGAACATATTTCCAAAAATATAACATTTATCAGCTTCCTCAGTAATAATTCTGTTATCTATTTCAAGAGTTGGGATTGGATCATTATTTTTTGTACGGTGTTTTATAAATTTATGAAGTTTATTATAATCTGAAACTATACCCCTTATTTTTTGACTGTGGAATTGGTTAATAATGAATTTGGTGGTTTTACAGATATCTTGATATTGTTTTTTTAGTTTAATGTTATAGTTATTTGCTTTCATACGGCGGAAAATTAATAGTTTCTTGTTAATTAAACTACTAATATATCTTGGATATTTAATTCTTTTATTTTCAGGTGTGGTTGAAATTGTTTTATTAGGAATACTCAGATCGATCTGGTTTTTGAGGGTATTTAGGAATTCAGAATATTTTGAATCAATTGTATAGAAATTATTAAGATGACAGAAATTGGTATAGTTTAATGCGTTTCTTAGTTTATCAATATTTTTATTGGACATGTCTCGGATTTGGATTGGTTTATTATTTTGAGGAATAGAGTTTAGCTGAAAATGTATTGAAAAGTGATCAGATATGCCATCCTTGACCTCATAGTTGGCGAAAAGAGTGGTATTATTTGTTAGTAAGAGATCAAGGATGGAACCTGATTGGTGAGTTGGTTCTAAAATGAGTTGATTAAAAAGGAAATTATGACAGAAATCAATAATCGAACTGTCTGTGTTGGTAGGATTATTAGGGTTATTCCAATCTATTCCCGGTAAATTAAAATCACCACATATAATGAAATCTTCCTGATGGAATTTTGAGAGTTTGGTAAATATTTTTTCAGTGTGGAGTTTCTTTGTGTTTGGTGGTCGATATATAAGTCCAAATCGAATGGACTTTTTGTTTTTTGGAAAATAATCGATAATTAGCAGGTCTATTCCGTAAAATGATGTAGAGGAGACTAGATTACAATTAAATTTGGATTTAGCTAGGAATGCAATCCCACCGCCCCTTTTATTATTTCTATTTGTGAGGAAAACCTGGAAAAGATTACTGAATGATAGTTCAGAAATGATCTTGTGATTATTAGTTATCCAAGTCTCGGTGATGAATAAAAAATCGGGATTTTCTGTGGAGATTATGTATTCTAAAGTTGGTAATTTGTTAAGTATAGATCTTGAGTTAAAATATATACATTTTAATTTGGGATTGATTTTTTGATTTATTAGGTTTAAACGGTAAAGGGGGTTATTTTTAATCTTTTTTGTATTAATTTCCTCATTAAAATTCTTTTTCCCGGGATTTGTGCATGTAAGTGGTTTGTTATAAGTATATGTAAAATTCTGTTTAAAAGAAAAATAATTAAACCTTAAATCACTGCATTGTGGCACTAAGAGTTTTTTTCATTCAAGATTTTACGTCGATCACTTATATTTCTGGTTTGCCAATTTTCTTTCTTCTCCGCTCTTTCTTCAGCTGTTTCTGACCAACGAATTGCAAATTTATCACTTCCAACCAGTTGACGAATTGTGTCACGTTTTTTAGTCCAATTTTTTAAAGCCTGAATTTGAAAACGCCGCGCCGGCAAGATCACCTTTAAAAGACGCAAACCTTTTTTTGTTGGGTCATGAACACCCATGCGATATACAACCGCAGAGCACTCGACGCCCAACTCGTCGAGTACGCACTTTACCATTTGGTGATCATCGGCTTGTCGAGCAGATGGTTTTGTCTTTTCACTTTCCGGCATACGAGTAAATACCAAGCTTCTTTTTCTCTCTTTTTCATCGGCACTTTGCTCATTATTAATTTTATTGAATTGATTTTGAATTTTTTCAAGGCTTTCGGAAATCGTATTAATTGCTGGTATTTTATTTTCAATGTTGTTAATTTTTGTTTGAAGATCAGTAAGAATTTTGCGAATTTCCGCAAGTTCTTTTGATGACATTTTTTAAAATCAATGAATCGATTTTTTTTTAAATCTTAAACTTGGGTAATTAAACCTTGGGTAATTAAACTTGGGTAAAAAATTTTAAAAATAAATTAAAATATTTACCAGTTATTTTTGTTTGTTTTTCACTAGAAGAACAAGAATTGTTGTTATTGGAAATATTAAGAGAAAGTCGGCGTCTAGTAGGTGTTCGGACAGAATTGAGATGAAATGGAGGTTTCCGGAGAGATGAACGAATTGGTGAGTTGGCTATAAAAATATTAAAGTAATATATTTTCCGGAAAAGAGAAATATTTTAAAAATTTCCGGAAAAGTTAGAGTAATATTATGTAGTATTAAAACTTTCCGGAAAGATATTCTAATTAATATATAAATTTCCGGAAAAGTTTATATTAGCCTTCCGGAAAGAATTAAATGATTATAAAAGTCAGACAGCAATATAAATATAATTTCCGGAAAAGAATATATTTTTAAAGTTTTCCGGAAATAGATAGAATAATCTTTTGTAGTATTAAAACTTTCCGGAAAAGTTTATTCTAATTAATATATAAATTTCCGGATAAGTTTATATTAGCCTTCCGGAAAGAATGGAATAATTATAAAAGTTAGACAGTTTCCGGAAAATATAAAACCTTTTCAGAAATATTCCGGAAAGATTCTAAGGAAGATTATAAAGAACTTATAAATTCCGGAACAATTTATAGTATTAATTTTCCGGAAAATATAACTATAAATATTTTTCCGGAAAAGTTTATATACGCCTATTTTAATACAACTTTAAAAAATCAGAATTATTCATTTATTTACCTAAACAAGTTGTTGTTAATTCACCAGAATTATTTTCAGAACAACAATTATTATTTAATTCTGCTTTGCTTCTAAAACATTCTTTTCCCTCGTTATTTTTATATTTTAATGTTTTTGTTGTTCTATAAAATCCAGGCACTTGATCGGCAGGTACCCGTTCAAATTCAAAACGACTTTTTTCCAAAGGTTTACATTCATCAAAATCAAATCCCCATTTTTGTTTATAATGTTCAGACAATTCATTTAACCAATTTTGGACAAATTGCTGAAAATTTTGAGGGAAATTTTATTTAATTTTTTAATTAAAATTTAAATTTACTTTATTTATTTCTTTATTTTCTTCCCCTCCCCCTCCTCCTTCTTCAAAAAATAAACGTCTTCTAGCAGTCGAAGAACGTTTATTAATATTAAAATTCTCATTATTTTCTTCCAAATTTTCTTTATTATTTTTGTCTTCATTATTAATATGCCATTGATGCCAAATTGGTCTAGTTGAATTTGGGACTAATTGGTGGTATATAGAAGGGGAAAGGATTTTTAATTGCATTTTAATTGAAGAAGAAAATATTTTTTTGAAAAAATCTTTTTTGTTAGTGACTCTAAAAATATTTAAGAATTAATTTTTGAAAAATTAAAAAATTCTTATTAAGGAAAAAAATTAAAAAATCACTAATAATATAATTAATTTCTTTTTATCCCCTTAAATCCCTCCTTAATCCCCTCAAAGACCCCTTAACATTCAAAATCCCTTTTATTGCCCTATATCAATTCCCACACAACCCAAATCCCCTTATAACCCCCCTTAATACCTATACATACATATAACCTCAATCGTTGGAAAATCCTTGGTTTCTGTTAACCGAAGATATCCCAGATCCACGTATACCCCCTATACCCCCTTAATGCCTATATAACCCCTAATCGTTGGAAAATCTTCTGTTTCGGTTAACCAAAGAATTTGGTGAAACCGAGAACCCTATTTGTGACTAAAAATATTTTAAATTAATTTTTGAAGAATTAAAAAAAATTATTTAATCAAAATAAAATAATAATTATGGAACAATTATAAAATTAAATAAATTCAAGAAAATGTCCCTTTTTTAAATAAATTTCCATGAGAACATACAAGGAGAGTATTGCATGCGCGGTGTACAAGTATGCAATTACATCCAACGGGATTGAAAGGGGAAAATTGAGAGAAAGTAGCAAAAAACCGGTCAAAAGGTCAGCGTCGGCGTGGGTATATTTGAATTGTTGGAAGAATTGGGGGAGTGGGGCAAGAGTAATAAAAAAATTGGAAAAAAGGAAGGGGGATGGTGGTAATCGAGAATAATGAAAGGGGATTGAGCCTTTGTTTGGGGCCTTTGCCTTTGGGGGTTAATAAATTAACAAAAGAATTATTCAAAAAATTGTGACAAATAGAGGAGAATATGTAGGATTGACAAAGGAGAGGCTTTTGGGTGTCCGTGGGACTTCGGGATGAAATTTGGTAGACAGGTAGATCATACCCTTTCTATTGTAAAACTTCAAATCGTTTCCGCTGAATGGTACCGTGGACTGAGTTATAAGCCCCCAAAGTTTTAGGGATTTGATCAAAGTTTTAGGGATGATTGACTTTGAATTTTGATGGGGTTTCCAGGTTTCTGGACTTTTCTGAGTTTGGGTTATTTTTTGGGATATCCCCTGTCTTTCCAACCTCCAAAATATTTTTTTCAAAATTTATCCCAAAAAAACTGGCCCAGACTCCTTCTGTTTTCTAATAAAAAGAAGGAAAATTAGCCCAAACTTTAACACTAAGAATAACCCTAATTAAATTATTAATAAATATAAATTAACTAAAATGCACCGAACTGTTAATTAATTACCCTTCTCTCTAAAAACAGCTGAATAGGCTCAAGTGCCAACTGTTCAATTAATATGCATCACTTGATTAAAAAAAGGGTTTTCACAGCTTACCATACTAATTAACTATTGGATTTAATAGAATAATGGAATAATAAATAGTAGATTTGAGTTACCTCTATCCTAGATACCCCCAATATTAGGCACTCCTCAATTTAAGGTCATTTTTCAAAAGTTGGTAGGCCATTAGGTGGGGGAGCTGTCTAAGCATCCTCGCCATTTTTAGTAGTGTTGCACCCCGACCTCGTTCCCCGACCCCGTTCCCGAACGATTTTTTCACACTTCTCCCCGCCCCGAAACAATTCGAAAACCCCACCCCAAGCTTTCGGGGTGTAACCCTAATTTTTAGGCAAAGCCCCCTCACCCAAATTTAAGATAAGGCACAATTTTCTTCTATCTCAGGGCAGTATTTATAATCGACCCTCGACTGTATAAATAATATTTTTAGAATTTTTATTACTTCAATATTTTTAAAAAAATTTTAATAATTTTTTTCTGTCATTTTTTTATTACTCCCCATAATCTACCTAATCAGCAACCCCTTTTTTCCCATCTCTATTATTCTCCATCACAAACCCTTATAATACTAAAAAGCTTATAAAAAGCCTAATGGACAGAATAAGCTTTTATTGGTCTATAGTTAACATCTGTGGCCACAAAAACAGTCAAAAAAAGGTGGAAATTGAAGAGTGAATAAAAGCTTTTTTCACAGTGTAGAAGGGGAGGAAAAGCTATAAAATTGAGGAGGGGGGGGGGGAGCATTCTCTAAAGCATTCCCAAATGACCATCAATCAAAACAAGCCTAATAAAAACACTAAAGGGTTATTGGAAAAATATTTTTATTTCTCAATATTAGTGGGTGGCATTAGTTGGAAAATATGTAAATTTTAATAGATCTGTCAGATTAATAAAATAGATGTAAAAAAATAGAAAAATGAACAAATTGTATTTTTATTAAGGGAGGTTAATTGTTGTTCTGAGCAAACTGTCACCGATCTTCTGTCCTCAAAAACGGGCCGGGAATAAATTAAGGCTTCCCAATAAATTTTGGAGGTATGGAATCGGTTTTTAAAATCCATTGAAATTATTTAAAAGATTTTTTCTATTGTTTCAATTTCCAATATAACTTTTCGATTCTTTCACTGTAATCGGAGGTCGATCGAAATTCCGATTTCCGACCTTTTCTACCTTACGATTTCAGAAAATTTGAGCTGATTTCCAATTTTCGACTTTTGATCCATTTCCGATTTCCAACAGTTCCAATTTTCGGCACCTTCGAAATTTCCGATCGACCTCTGATTGTAATTAATTAATTACCTCGCCTAATAATACTAGTAAATTAAATTTTAATTATTCCTACTGTTGAGGCTTTATCTAAAATTAATTTTTTCATCATTTTATCGAGGCCAAATATACCATAAAATAAATATAATCAAACACAGTACAAGATATAAAATCAGAAAATTAAGTAGAAAAATTGAGAAGAAAGCAAACAAATTGATAATAAAAAAATATACTATTCGAGAATTAAATATTTAAATAAATTAATAGAGCAATATTGGGTGGTATTGAATAAATAAATTAAAGATTGAGAAAATTGATAAGAAAAAAAATGGAAAAAAATATTTTAAAAAAATATAGGAAGGGTTTTATTACTTGGTGTGGTCACTCATTTAGTTAGAGACGAGATTTGGGCAAGTGCCAATTTGTTGAAGGCTTTTTTGTGTTGTAATAGCGAGAGGACCTTGAAGTGCTTTCCTAATAAATTGTGGTTAAGAAAAATAAGTTTTAAAAAATAATGGTGATTGATGGAATAGTTTTGCGGTTTTGGCAGCTTAATGATGTAGAAAAGATTAATTTTAATATTAAAAAATAAAAATATTAAAAAAATAAATTGGGAAGAAAATGAAAAATAAAAGTTGTTGTTGGTGATTTATTAGGTGATATTTTGGGTAGAAACATTTATTTAATTGCTTTGTTTATAATGCAAATTTTTAATGAACAAAACATGTTTTAAATTGTATAAAACACACAAACAATTAATTGTTTAAAGAGCAAAAATAAAACAATAAAAACATCAAAACATTAGCAAAAGTAAAACAACATAAAAATAAAAACATGTTTGTTAAATAAGTAATGTTTGTTTAAATTCCAAGTATGCATGTTTAGATAAATAAATGTTTGTCTTTGTTTGAGGAAAAAAAGTTTGATAAAACATTGAAAAAACATAAAAACAAGTTTGTAGAAACAAGTTTGTAAAAACAAGTTTTATAAAACTTGTTTCAACTTTTTACCTTGTTCGCCAACTTGTTTTTATTTTTTTACCAACTTGTTTTTATTAAAACTTTTCCCTTACTTCTTTCAACTTTTTATAAAACTTGTTTTTATTAAACTTGTTCTTATGCATTTTTCAACATTGTAACAAGTTTTATTTTTATTCCAAGTTTTATAAAAAGCTGAAAGGAACAAGTTGGAAAAGTATGTTTTAATAAAAACAAGTTGGTAAAAAGCAAGCAAAAACAAGTTTTAAAGTTGAAACAACATGTTTTTATAAACAGGCGGCAAAGTTTTAATAACATCAATTAAGTTCAACAAAGTTACTAAAATTGTTTTAAATAAACAAAAATAAATAAGTTTGTAATCTTAAAAATAATTTATCTCAAACTTCAAGGTCGAGAATGCGCGGCATTGTTTTTTCATTCAACAAGTCAACTTTTTAGATGACAAAAAGAAATATTTTTTTCCTTTTCATAAATCATCAATTTCTTTTTAATCTTTAGCGCTTAATCTCGGCATTTATTTTTTATTAAAAATAAATTTAGAAATAATATATATAATGGCTATATTGAAGAGAAAAGTCAAAAAATTAAAAAAAAATTTTTTAATTAAAAAATATTAAAAAAAAATTTTTGTAATTTTGAAAAAAAATTTTTCTAAAATTTTTTTTCACAAAAAATTTTTTTTTAATTTTTTTGGAACATGAATCCCTTTTTTTTATTATTAAAAAAATATTTTTGCACATTTTTAAAATATTTATTTTAAAATTATTTATTATTTTCTTCATTTATTTTATTTTTTTTACAACAATGTTGTTGTTCTTTCTTTCTCTATCTTTATTTATTTATTATTTATATTTTTAAATGTTCCTTTTTAAAAATTGTTGTCATCTCAAATTTATTTTTAATTTTTATTTTCTTTATTTCTTTAATCCCCTTCTAGAAAACCACAAAATTTTTCGCGCGCCAAATTTCCAACATTTTGAGGGGCAACGTGAATTCCTTTTTTCTAATTTTTAAAGCTTTCCCTTTCGCGTTCAATTTTAAAAAAAATGTTCAGAAAAAAGGAGGTTTTAAAATTTATATAAGAAAAATGGGAAAGAAATGATCGGTGGTCTTTACTTTGTGGTTTTTTTGGGGAAAAAGGTGAAAAGAGGAAAAAGAATTTTTAAAAAATTTAATGGAAAAAAGAAAAACGAACAAACAACAATAACAAATCAAAACAACAAAATAAAATAACAATAAATAAATTCGCGCGAAAACCACAGAGCAATAAACGAAAGATATATTTAAATTGGAAAGGATTAAGTAGTGGTTAGGGTAAGAGGAAAGGTTGGTTGTTGGTCAAGTTGGAAGATTTGGCGGGAAACTAAAAAAAAATATTAAAATTGTAGAATTGTAAAATATTAAAATAAAACTTAAGGCACAAAACTTAAGTTTTTAAGTTTTAAAGTTAAAAACTTAAGTTTTCAAGTTTTAAAGTTAAAAACTTAAGTTTTAAGTTTTACAGTTTTAAAACTTAAATAAACTTTGTACATATAAATAAACTTTACAACCTTCCCAATTTTAAAGTTGCAATTGTAAAAAGTTGCAACTTGTTTACCAACTTGTTTTAATTATTTGTTTGTTTTTTCTTTGAAACATTGTTTGTAAAAACATGTTTCTTAAAAATAAACTTTTTGTTTTGTTTTTCCTACTTGTTTTTACAATCTTAAATTTATTGGAGAGACTCTTTTTTATATAATTCTAAGGGTCTACATATGTAGGTTAGTAAAAAATTTTTAAATTTTTCCAAAAATAATTGAAAAATATTTAATTATTTATTTTTTATCATTTTTAAAATAATTATTTTTCTCCACTCAATTTTCTCAATTTTCGGTTTTTCTCAATTCATAATTTGTAAAATATCTACCATTTAATAACCATCTGGTATTCCTCTCCAAATAAATATTACTTAATTTTTTCTATATTTAATAGCTTTCGAAAAATATTCACATATTTTTGTTTGGCTTTCTAAATATCCCCCTTCTCATCCTCTCGAGTGCCATTTTTACACAACAACAGATTTTTTAGGTAATAAATGAAGGGAAGGATTGATTTCAACTAAAAATACAAGGGTTGATTAGTGTCATCATTTTTAATTACTTTCTTCGGTCAATGACAGGTGAAAAAATGTGAGAAAATTGGGAAAAATGGATGGAATGTCGACAGTTGTGTATTTAAAAATTAAAAATAAATGGCATTTTTAAATTAAAAAAAAGCGTGGGAAAGTAGCTAGGTATTTAAGTTGGATATTTAATCCTCCCTTTTTTGCTTCCA